TGCCACATCGGTGCCTCTTTTGTCTCTCTCTGTTGTTTTTTGTGTTTGTTGTGTTGGTTGGGGGTGGGGTGGTGGTGGTTGTTGGGGTGTGTGTGTGTGTGTGTGTGTGTGTAGGCTGTCTGTAGACTCTTTTGTTTGATTCTCACAATAGCCTCATGCTTTCCCATGGCTACAAGGTTGCAGAACTGGAATTCATACCTGGGGAGGCTGATTCCAGAGAACGTGTCCTCAGCCACTCTATTCTGTATGGCTCCATGTAGGACAGTCAGTCTGTGGTCCTGTGTTGGGCAGGACAGAGCAGGGGCTTTGTGCAAAGGTGGGGTTGGTAAGGGGCTAATGTAGACTCCATTGGACTATGGTGAAGACTAGAGTTGGGCAGGAGAGCTGAGGCCAGTGTTTTTCCCAAGTGCAATTGCCTGGCTTGTGGGAAGGTAGCTGGTATACTATTCAGAAGCCCCTGCCAACAGTGAAGGAAGAGCAGAGAAAGGGAGGAAGAGGAAGAAGAGGAGGAGGAAGAGGAGGAGGAAGAAGAGGAGGAAGAAGGTTTGGCCTGGACATATCTTGAGCTTGAGGCCCTCAAGCTTGAGGAGAGATGCAGTGGATAGATGGAGCTTGAGGGACTGGCATTATCCATTACCCCCTGCCAGGATCCAGAGTGTTCATGTGGGCCTGGTAAGCATACAGGAACTTGAGTCCCCTTGGTCCATCCAGGGGCTGTTTGGAGCCAGTTTGGGCCAGTTGTGGAGTGATGTGGACAGTCTTTCTTCCCTCTAAGGCCCAGGGGCCATTCCCCAAGCACTGCTGTGGCCAGCAAGAGGGAAGCTTGTTAGTAAACCTCTCCCAGGTGCTAGCTGAATGTTGTGTTCTCTGAAGGTTTGCTCTTGGTTGGGACCACAAGGCTGTGGGAGCTCAGTCTGATGACCTGTGTGGGCTCAGGGCCACAGTGGGTCCCAGTCTAGGTATGACTTCAGAGGGATTTCCTGAGGGTCCTCTGGCTGCCTCAGAGGGAAGTTCTTTACCATCAGAGCAGAGTTGCTTCTGGGGCCACAGCTCCACCTGGCCAGGGCCTCTGAGTCTGTGAGGAATCCAGCTGGGGTTGCATGGCAGCACCTGGACATACCCCAGGGATTCCTCCACCTATAGCCCCAAGAATCTAGATCTGGAGCCCATCTGGGCCCAGAGCCTGGTCATCTCACTTAGGCAGCTTCCTAAATCATGTTAGTCCTGGTTTGCCCAATGTTAAAATGGGGGTCACAGACACCACCTCCCTATTAAGCTAGTTGGTGTGTTGTGGGTGCATGGCATATGGAGTACATCCCTTTCCCCTCAGCCTGTCACTGCTGCTGTTCCCTGAAGCACTGGCCTCTTTGGGAAAGCCAAGAAACAAGTGGCAGGTGAGACTCACCCTCACCTGGCCCAGTCTCAGTCCCCACTGCCATACAAGCACCGGGCATTGGGAAGCCCTAAGGAACAAACTGGGGTGCTGCACCCTATTCCCATGTTTCAGAGGATTGATGCCTCAGAGGCCCAGGGTCCCCAACAGAACTGTGACTTCACAGGCCTTAGGCAGCTCCATTCTGAGCTGCAGGGAGTTGAGCCCAGTCCTGGCTTGCCCTATCTTGACTCAGGGTCGGCATCCTTACTTCCCCACAGGTGACAGGGTTTGACAGTGTGGATGATGAGTCGAAACACAGTGACCACATGTTCTCAGACAAGAGTCCCAGCCCAGACCTCTGGACCAGCGAGCAGAACCCACCCTACAGCTACTACCTGTACTATATGTACGCCAACATCATGGTGCTGAACAACCTCCGCAGGTAGGTGAGGTGGCCCCTCGCAGGACCCGGCATTCCGCATGCCTGTGATGCATGGGTCTGTGTGCACTTCTCCAACATGCATGTCCTCATGGATACTTGTATTTACATATATGCAGAAGAATCAGTGTTAATATAGACATGTATCATATATGTAATGCTGCTACACATCATATGCATACACGCACATTCTGTACACATTTACCAGCACGTGCCTTCACGTATATCTCTGAGAAAGTACAGGACATGCCAACACATATGCATGTTCATTTACTGCTACCCTGGCACCTACATAGGTGCATTTGTGCTTTGAACAGATGTTTGCAACTGCTTTGTGACAGGCACAGTCCAGGCACTGGGCAGATGGAAGGGGATGAAGCAGACTCAATCCACATAGGCCATATAGGTGGTCTCCTGGATAGAGGCAGCACATGCTGGCAGGGGGCGGATGCCTGGACACAGGACACAGCCACATTCCCTTCTACCAGTCTGATTTTCCAAACATTCCCCTCCCTGGGCCTTGGTGCCTCACTGGCTGGGCCTGAACCAAGAGGTTTAGAATGGCGTCATTGTTTAGAGGACCTGGGGCAGGGGTGGCAGTGGTCCTGGACTGACTTCTGGGAAATGGGAGTTCAGTTCTAGCTTTGCCATTGACTTGCTCTTTGAACACAGACTTCACTCTCTTGGCCCCCATTTGCTCATTTCTATAGCAGAGGGTTGGACTTTCTCACAGTGCTTCCTGATCTGGAGGCCTGTGAAGGAGAGCTACAGTCCCAGAGAGCAGGGAAGGGAGGAAGGATGGAGAAAGGCCAGGGCCTCTCTCTACTGCTAGCCCCCTCTCTGCCTTGGAGGTCATGGTTCTTGGCTTTTGGTTGCAGAAGGGGCTTTGTCTAGGGTCCACTGGTTAGCTGGGTGACCATACCATAGGTGATGTTCTACCTTCAAATGGGTCCAGGGCTGGGGCTGTGGGCCCAGAATGAACCTGGAGTACTTCCTGACTCAGTGCCTCTCTCTGACAGGGAACGAGGCCTGAGCACCTTCTTGTTCCGGCCCCACTGTGGGGAGGCTGGCTCCATCACCCACCTAGTGTCTGCCTTCCTGACCGCAGATAACATTTCCCATGGGCTGCTCCTCAAGAAGGTAAGTGCGCCACTCCTGGGAGCCAGTGCTGGACACACTGTGGGATGCCCCTCCCTCCCATTCACCCCCTCAAAGCACTGATGCTGGAGGCCCATGGCATTGGACTGGGCTAGCTATAGTCATCTTGGTTTTACTTTTAATTATAAAAGAAACCAATCACATCACAATATAGGTTTCCTAAAAAAAGAAAGGAAATCTCATTGCTTTTACTAGATTTTTTTTTTTTTAATTTCTAACACTTCTTTAAGATTTATTTCTAATTCTGTGTATGCATGTGTGGGTATATGTATGTGTGTGTAGATGCCCGCAAGGCAAGAAGACGGCATCTGATGCCCTGGCTTTGGAGTTATAGGCTGTTGTAAGCTACCCCATGAGTGCTGGGAACTGAATTCTGGTCCTCAGTAGGATCAAGATCAATACAACTCTTTACCACTGAGCCATCTCTCCAGCATCAGCCCCTTTCATCTGCAACACATTATAACTTAATATTAAGCACAGAAGTTTGGTTCCCACTTTGTGCCTTAGCATTGACTAACAATCCTTTTTCTGTGGTACAATGTTCCTAGGTCCTTCATTCTAAAAGGCTTTGGATGATGGTCCACCACTTGGTCAATAATTGACTCAAATAGTCCCCAGTGGTGGGCACAGTGGCCATCTAGCTTTTCCTTCATGTAGGTAATGTTACTGTGAACTCCGGGTGCTCAGTTTCCCCATATATTGAGTCACTTCCAGAGATATCAGTTTGCTCCAAATGTCCCCTTGCTTTGGTCCTGACATGTCCAGCCTCGGGTCACACTTGTGTGGGACAAATGCTACATCAGACTGCTATAGCCCAATCCAGCCGGCCTCTTACCTTTCCTTCAGGACACATCTCTGAGGGGTTAGAGTATTTGAAGCCCAGTAGTGGTTAGTTTTCTTGTTCCTGTGGCCAAACAGCTGACAGACAAGAAGCAATTTAAGGGAAGAAAGGCTTATGTTGACTCATAGTTTGAGGTGATAAAACCCATCATGGTGGAAGGCATGATGCCTGGTCACATCACATCTACAGTCAGGAAGTGTATAGGAAGTGGGCCTGAGCTATAAAGCCTCAAGGCCCACAACTAGTGACCTACTTCTTTGCGTGAGGCATCACTCCTAAAGGTTCCACAACTTCCCCAAACAGCTCCACCAGCTGGGGACCAAGTGTTCAAACACTTACACCTCTGGGGGGATATTTCACATTCAAACCAGTCTCAACCTGAATGTTTGCTGTCAAAGCAACAAAACCACACATTGGGGTTCTCCTCCTGGCCTGACCACCTCGGGGCTGCATCTGTGGGGAGTATAAGATGTGACTTCTTGCCCCCAGCTGTGTCTATGGTCTGGAGCCAAGAGTGGGCACTTAAACAGTGTTCAATCTTCATGTCATATAGCAATGAGCGAAACAAGATGGTGGAGGGGGTGGGCCTGAGTGTCTGGGCTATTGGGAACCTGGGCTTGGTGGAGACCTGTACAGTCACTGCCCAGCCTTCGGTTTCCATTGATGAATGCTTCTCCAGTCACCCCCACCCAACTCTGGCACATGTCACATGACTTTGGTGGTTCTTTTGCAGAGTCCAGTTTTGCAGTATCTCTACTACCTTGCTCAGATCCCTATTGCCATGTCTCCTCTCAGCAACAACAGCCTGTTCCTGGAATATTCCAAGAACCCGCTTCGGGAATTCCTGCATAAGGGACTGCACGTCTCTCTCTCTACAGATGATCCCATGCAGTTCCACTATACCAAGGTGAGGAGGTGGGGGAGCGCAGTGGTGTCTGGCCCAGCAGGTGTCTGCGCCCTCCCATTAAGAAGGCCCGAGCCTATGGCTCAGTTTGGTTTTGGCAGTAGTGTGCCTGGTTGACAAGGGGGTGACCCCTGGTGAGGAGTCTTATGTCCCAGGAGCACTCATTGGGCATAAAATGGTCTCTTCTTTCATTAAGATAATGGACTGGAGTCAAAATGTTAGGCCCTTTTTTCATTAACATTATTTATATGATTACTCTTTGGATCTCTGGGAAAGGTGATGTCATGTACGGGAAACAGCTACCAGTGTTCCCAAAAATTTTAACTGGCATTGACAAGATCAGCCACTGATGAGCAAACAGAAGCACCAGTGTCTTCTGGGTTGAGCTTCTTCAGACTTGTTTCTGGGCCCTTCATACTCCGAATAGGAGCCTTCAAAGAGCTGTTGCTTATGTGGATTCTGTCTACTGACAGTTCATTGGGATGACTTTTAAAAATATTTATTAACTCATTTAAAAATAGTAATGCAACACTCTGTTTCTCTTCAGATGGTATAAATCTTTTGCTTTTTAAAAACAGCGATAATATTGGGTGTGATGGCATCTGCTTATAATCCCAGTGCTAGGGAGACCGAGGCAGCAGGCTCTGGAGTTGGAGGCTAGCCTAGGTTACATGATGAAACCTTGTATCAAAAACAGAACAAAACAAAAACCAAAACTAAAAGACGAAAAACAATGACAACAAAACCCAGAAAACTTCTACCCACCCAAAACAGTAATGGACATTATATAATACAACAGTATTGTATAAATAGCAAACTTTTAATGAAAATAACTATTTTCAAACAAAAATATCGAAAGGAGTGGCCTTGTTTTGCAATGTGCGTTAATGTCTTAATAGAAGACAGCTGGGATCCATCTCTGCTTCTGCATTCAATTTGTTGAAAAGTATGTGAAGGCAATCTTGCCTCGTAAAGATACATAGTTGGCGAAGGGAGGACCTTTCAAAAGGTCTCTGGGTCCCAGAGGCTCTTGGACCACACGTTAAGAACCTCTGTGGAGGAGATGGAAGGTCCTGGGTGGGAGGGGGAGGAGGTAAAGAGCTGGTGATTGATGGCGGAGAGTTCCCAGCCCGGAAGATAAAGCTTGGTGATGAGGAAACACAACCCCTCGGGGACTACTCCATCTCCCCATTTAGAAGAATTCTTTCTTGTTCTTATTTAAAGTTCTATTTCTGCTTAGTGTTTTTCTTAGCGTTTTTCTCCTATTAACTTTTATTTTTGGACATTCCTAAGAAAATATTGAGTTAAACAAAAAGCAAAGCTGAACAGCAGGCACTAAAAATGTGTCTGAGGGAGGGTGGTGTCTGTGACACTAAAAATGTGTCTGTGAGAGAGGGTAGTGAACTTGTGTAGCATGGCCGCTGGCTTTGTAAAAGCTCTTGTTTGGAGCCCAACAGATGAAATAGCAACTCAGCCACGGCTGGTTGCAGGAGGCCCTGTAATTAATTGTAACTGTGACTGGTTCCAGTGAATAAGCTGTGACCAGTGTGCTGCTTGATCGCCTCTGTCTCCAGTTTTCTCTGGCTCACTTTGGCTTTCCTGCAGGTGCCATCCTTACTCTGTTGCTTGTTCTCAGAACCCCAAGCTATGGGGAGCTGCCCCACTCAAAAATCCTTGTTTTGTATGAATACTCTCCTACATTTAATTGGCCTGAGGAGTTTCCCTTTTGATAGGGACTGTGACAGGGAGGCAGAGCACTGGCTTTCTAACACAGTAGGCCCTCAGTGCTGGTGAGCAAACAAATAGAGGCGTCCTGTGGCAACCTGCGACTGTACACAAACAGATCTCAGGCGTTTGGACTTTAAGGCGTACTCTCATTGGATGATCCAGGTGCCGGTACTGAATGAAACCCTGTGGTGCAGGCTGCTGTTTTGTTTTGGAAGTCGGTGTTCTCCCATCTAACCCGTGTGCTCTGGGGAGGGCTCTAGGAAGCGCTCATGGAGGAATATGCCATTGCAGCTCAAGTGTGGAAGCTGAGCACATGTGACCTGTGCGAGATCGCCAGGAACAGCGTGCTGCAGAGTGGCCTCTCGCATCAGGTGCGTGTGATGGGCTGCCCGTCCCCCTCCTCCCTGCAGTAAACGGGCACTGTGAATGTCTGTGTGGCAGCGGCTGAACACACAGGGGCTCTGGAGCCCTGACATTTTTGACTCTGGGAGAATCCTTGGGGGCCATCCAGAAGTTCCTGGCTGCTCCTCACCTTTCTCAGACCTGCCTCCAAGATTACCCCCTCAGCGAGGTCTTCCCTGGCCACCATCCCCTTTTCCTCTTATTTTTTTCCAGAGTATGCACCATTACAGACATTGTGCCATGCATTTCCTTATGTGTTTTTCTATTTCTCTTTAGAATGGCGGCTTTGAGCACAGGGGCTCATTCCTGTTACATCCCAAGGCCTTAAAATAGTGCTGGCACAGAGTAGGCATTAAGTGTATATGAGGAACCCAGAGTCATTTTTGTATGGCTCCCTACAGGATTCTGATGTGGAGCCAACACTGAGAACCCAGAAATCTCCCCAGTGGGATGCCTCTGGAGCACAAAGAGGCAGCCTTGGGTGCTCTTGAGGAAGTGATGCCGTTAGAGGCCTGAGTTCTGTGTGACTTGTTCCTAGAATCTGGGCTCCCCAGAAACACAACTGCCTGCCCGTGCCACCCCTCAGAAGGGATTCCATCTTAATGTCTTCCCCTCAATCTCCCTGCACCCAGCAGATGCTGTAGCTCTTGTTCCTTTCTTTTCAGGGAAGTCACAGCTGTGGAGGGAATGACCAAGTGGTCAGGTGACATTTTCAAGGAAGACTTTGAGTTTGTGTCTGGGGCCAGTGTCAAAGCTGCCCACATAGATACAGGAATGACATCCTGGTCTCAATGTTTTTCTCTCGGTTCACAGGAAAAGCAGAAGTTTCTGGGGCAGAATTATTACAAAGAAGGACCAGAGGGCAATGATATTCGAAAGACAAATGTTGCCCAGATCCGGATGGCATTCCGATACGAGACCTTGTGCAACGAGCTCAGCTTTCTGTCTGATGCCATGAAGTCAGAAGAGATCACAGCCCTGACCAAATAGGCCCAGCGCTTGATACCAGCCTTCACTTTTTGGTTTAATTTCAGGTCTGCTGGGGCTAAAAGTGGCCAAGATTTCAGGCTGGGGCTTTCCTCTCTGGAGGATGCCCCCGAAGAAATCTCCAACTCTTGATTTCGGTTGTGCTGTTCACTTCATGATTGAAATGCCCTCTTCTGTCAGCATTTCTGAGCCAGGGGCAGTCACTTCCCCTTGCAGATCTGGGAGCTGGCAGTTGTCTGCACCTGTTCCCGATTTTCCACATAGTCCTCTTGTAATTGCCAGTGTTTGCATTGTTGGGGCCAGGGTTTTCCATGTTGAATGCCAGGTGACATGAGGTCCGTGTGGTCTCTGCCGACTCCCCTCTGCAGGCTCCATTCAGCCTCTGGCTGGGTGCCTTAAATCCCCCTCACAGCTCCCTTTCATAAAGGGGCTACCTTGAGAGAAAATACAAGACTCTTCTTGAAAATTTGTGGGTTTTAAAAAAATGAATTTCTTGGCCCGTTTTATGTAGCATTCCTCCTTCCTTTCTAGTTAGGAAGCCACATGCACTTGCTGACGTGGTCACTGTCCTGTTCTCTTCATCTAGGACTGAGTCGTTTCAATGTTCTGTGAATCCCCTCATGGCCCACTCCAGGGCTGGGAAGGTCTAGGGTGAGTGAGGTTCTGGGGATGTCAAAATGGCTTCTTTCACAGTCCTGTTGGGGCTGTAACACCTTTTCACTCTAACCAAGTACTTTGGAAGGCACAGATCAGATGACCTCTGCTCCTTTGGCTCTAATAGCCCATGATTATAGCTCAGCTAGCACTTTCCCCCGGAAGCATTAGACCAGAAGTGAAATTTTCTGAAGGAAGCACAGGACTAGAACTTCCTGGTTTCTAATCAGTTTTTTTCCCCAGTCTTCCTTTAAGTTTTCACAAATTAGTTTTTTTGTTTTTTGTTTTTTTGGAGCTGAGGACCTAACCCAGGGCCTTGTGCTTGCTAGGCAAGCGCTCTACCACTGAGCTAAATCCCCAACCCTGTGTTGTTGTTTAAATCACTTTAGCATGGTGCATTTATTTTAAAGGCAAACTGTCTCCCTTACATAATATAGAGATTTCTTCAGAAGTTATACTGGGTCCCAGGGGCCAGGGAGAAAGCTGTTTTTAAGACCAATCTGAAGTTAAGCTTTATCAGTGTACCCATCTGTGTTACTAGTAACTAGTACATAGTAGGTGCTCAATAAATACATATGAAATAACTGAATGAATTTCTCTTTTGGCAACTATATGTGCTGAATACTCAACAAATTGTTCAAAGACCTTCCTATTTGTGGGCAAACTCAGGTGGCAGGAAGTCCTTCTGAATTGAAGAACCTAACTCTGCCTGCAAGATACTTATTGGACTTTAGGTTATCTTGCCGTGACTCTGTCCTGCAATCCTTCCAGTGGTCGACTCAGCACGTGAAACTACATCATCTTTTGACTAGGCAAAAATATACACTATCTTATAATTATGAAAATGAATGAAAACCCATCATCTGAGGGATTATTTTTGCAAAGCCTCCATTTGTATTACATTTTCCCAAACATCCCAAGGATTGTACAGTTTTTCCATTGTATCATTTTTTTTTTTAAATTATAAATAAAGTCTATTAGGGCTGTAACTCAATAGAGCAAATGCTTAAGTCTTTTACTTTTCAGACTGGGCACACTGAAAAGCTGTCAATAACTCTTATTATATCTTCCAGTGAGAAGTGAAGTCGATGGTGTTCACTAGGGAAACCCAGCATTTTCAAGCTGTGGCTCAGGAGCCCTGGAAGGTGAACGCAGCATCTTTGTTTCGTTTCTGCCCTGCCCTCGCTCATCAGCAAAGCCACCTGTCTCTGCCTTCTTCCCTGGCGGTTGTGATGGTCTCACCTGTACAGAAAGCATCCCAGAGCCTTTTCTGTAACATTTTACACCTTTACACATTGTGCTTCGGCCCTCTTGGAGGCGACTCCTGCTGTCCTTTGTTTTGCAGTTGGATTCAAAGGCAACTGCGCAGGCCCAGGTTCTACAAGGGATGGTTTTTAAAGTAGCGCTCTCTGGCGTATTCCAAAGGGCTCAGATTCGCTTTGTATCTTTGTTCAAATGATCGCTTTCATGTCTCTTTCACAGACTGTAGCTCCTGGCTCATTCTGGGTCTTTCCTGTCTCTTGAGCTAAAGTCAAGTTGAAAGCACTTTTCTGGCTTTCTCTTACTTGCTCCTGAGGAGTGTGCTGATTAAACCCAATATTCATCTGGGTTTGCCACACAAATGAAGGTGATACATTGTGATACACCAAACTGTTCTACATGGGAACTGCTACAGTTAGAAAACTACAGAGCCTGGCATGGTGGTCCACACCTTTAATCCCAGCACTTGGGAGGCAGAGGCAGATCTGAGTTACAGGCTAGCATGGCCTACATAGTGAATTCCAGGCCAGCTGGGGCTACAGAGGGACCCTGTCTCAAAAAAAAAAAAAAAGAGACGGGGTTGGAGAGATGGCTCAGCGGTTAAGAACACTGAATGTTCTTGCAGAAGACTAGGGTTTGAATCCCAGCATCCACATGGCAGCTGACAACTATCCATAACTTCAGTTCCAGGGGATCTGACAGCTTCTTCTGTACTCCTTGGGTACTGCATGACACGGGTGCACTTACCTACATGCAGGCAATACACACATACACATAAAAATATTTGTTTTTTGGTCTTTTTGAGACAGGGTCTCCCTGTAGCCCCAGCTGGCCTGGAACTCACTATGTAGACCAGGCTGGCCTCAAACTCACAAAGATCCTCCTGCCTCTGCCTCCCAAGTTCTGGGATTAAAGGCATGCACCACCATGCCCTGCATAAAAATATTTTTTAAAGAAAAAAACTCCCTCCAACATAAGGGACACAAATCACAGATAAACACATCCTCTTGGAAATTTCTGTACCTTCACCTTCCAAGGAATATTCTATAAGAAAGATGATTAAGAGTTAAGACCATTAAGCTATATTATCAAAATGGGATTGAAGAGGCTTTATTTTTATTTTCTGTGTATGAGTGTTTTGCTTGCATGTGTTTAAGTGCACTTGTATGGTGCTATGTCCACGGAGGTCAGAAGAGGGCATTGGATCCCCTGGAACTGGAGTTACAGTTGTTAGCCACCATGTGGGTGCTGAACCCAAGTCCTCTGCAAGAGCAGCCAGTGCTCTGAAACGCCCAGCCATCTCTCCAGCCTCAGCTTTACTTTTTTTGATACCAAAGTGATTTTCTCTAGAGCATGGTTATGAGAGGCACCGGTAAGTACAAGCTGCTATTTTCTCATTATTGTTCTCGGCACTGCCTCTAAGACGCTTCTCTGATTACATCCTTATACCTTGGAAATGCTTTTATAAGGACAATGGGAAACTACCACAGTGGGGAGCACTTTATTGTTACTGATCAATAGGATAAGAAGACATGAAGGCAAACCAGTCACTGCCAGCTGTTCAGTTTAGGTTGCCATTGTGGCGCTTGTCATCAGTGTGCGTGATCAGCTGATGGACAAACAAGCCTCAGTTGAGAAGCACATGCACTCCAAAACAAAGCAAATTTAAAAAAAATCATACTTAAAAAGGCAAATTCTTCAGATGATCTTTAATGAACCCAACTGCCCAATGTTAAAAATCATTGAACCAAAAGATTTCCAAGTAGCCTTATTATCCAGATACGTATTAGATATAAGGAAATCAGGCCCAATTTGAAATGAATCTCAAACATAGCACACAAATATCACAACTTCCCGGAGCACAATATAAAACAGTCCTCTAATTCATATAAACATTTAGTGTATAAGAATGTGAAATCACATAAAGTGTTTTCAATTAGCTAAAGTTTACTTGCAAAGTTTACTTATTGCACAATTGACCAGTTTCTCCTAAGAATTAGACACCACTATTCTCAGCCTCTAACTCAGCACATAGTCAAACTTATTTTCTAAAAATAAAATTCTACAGCATTATGAGCCAACTCGCTGTTAGTGAGTTAGGATAGTGCAAACAGTGTAACTTAAATTCCTCAAAGCAAGAGACCATTTCACAAATCTTAGAAGGCACACGTTATTTCCTAGCAGAGTAAATACAATTAAGTACTTAATATTTTAAAAACACAAAGCTGTACAGAATAGAAAACATGTACATTTTATTCACGAGACAAATTTACAACTTTCATGATTAGATAGTACAGCAGAACCCACCATTCACATCTGAAGAACTATCACCCTGTTTTACACTTCACAGTAGGTCAGTTAAGTGTCTTGGAGGTCATATTATAAGAAAGGGGTGTGGCTACTATCAAGCCAGTGGACGCACTGCTAAACAATCCATTCAAAGGTGAAGGAAGGGTTCTGGGGAATAACATCACTGGCTATTGCTGGAAAGATCCCAAGCCCATAGAGCTACCTTGTGTGTTTTCAGAAACATTTTAAATTAGGCAACTTGAATTAAACTCAGCAAGTCTAATCCAAAAGGACACTCTACAATTTTTGAACTGGAAAACGTGTCAAACATGTCCCAAGGTTTTCAAAATATGTTCCATGGGATGATATGGGAGAGATTATTAATCCGCAAATTTCAATTAAAAAAAATTTTTTTTGAAATGGTCTCAATATAGCCCAGGCTGGCCTTGAAATTGCTATGTGATTGAGGATCACCTTGAACCTCTGATTCTCCCGCACACATCTCTCAAACCCTGAGATTACTGGTGTGTCCCACCAGGAGTGCTAATTTTTATGTGTTTCTGGGGATTGAACCCAGGGCATCGTGCATGCCATGGATGCCAAACAGGCACTGCCAGAGGAGCGGTATCTCCAGCCCTGAATTAAATTTCTTTTGCAAAACAAAAACTTCCCATCACACAAGTTTGTTACTCACTAAATTCTAATAAAACTATGTGTCACCATTGTATTGTTTTAATTTCACTGACTTTACAGTCATCACAGTATATGAAGTTTATGTAAGGAGATTTGTATTCATAAAATGTAGTTTCTATATCACAAGGTAGTTTGTATGCATGTACTCAAGTGTACGTGGACTCTCAAGTTTACTTGGAAAAAAAAAGTCCCATTGCTAAACAGTGTGGAAACCATAAATTCAATCTTACTGTCTCTAGTAGACACCTACAGACATGAGGTAAGAGATTCTCTCAAGGTCACAAAGCCAATCAGAACCAGGTGATAAAGACAGAAAGCCAGCTCCCTATTAGCTTAAACACCCAGTGTAGAGAGCACTTAGTTATCTGCTGCTTCCTGTCCCTTTCATGACTGCCCCCTTCATGACTACTCAGTCTTCAATACTAAGCAAGTCACTTTCTTGTACTTGAAATGGATTTTATTTGCATGCCCATTAAAATGTTAATGCTCTCCTGGCATGGTGGCCTTTGATCCCAGCACTGTGAGTTCAAGGTCAGCTGGGGCTACAGGGAAACCTTATCTCAAAACAAAACAAAAACAAATAAACAGAAAATGTTAATACTAAAAAAATTTCTGTCATCAATAAGCAGCAAATTAAATTGTGTTCCTTTGTGCTTAGGAAAACAGTAACATTTGCAACTTGTCAATAATCGGTCAGAAAATTTCCATGGAATGCTAAAATGCCTTTTTTAAAAAAGGTGACTTCATGCCTAATTTTATTACAGGCCAAAATGTTAATATTGAAATGTTAACATTGAAGTTTTTACTTCATAAGCCATAAAATGGCCGAGGGCTATGCAGGGTCATAACCCTGTGCTCTTTTCAGAGACAGAAGGAAGCGCAGCACAACAGTAAGAAAGCCAGACTGGTCTCAAGTACTTAGGAGTTCCACATATAAAGGGTGAAAAAGCTCCACCTTCATTTTCTTTCTTTTAATATAAGAAATATGAGGATACTGAAGCCTCAGAAAGATGCCTTTACCTGAAACTAAAAGCATTATAAATCAGCACTGGATGACTTGCAATTTGGAAATATAAGATGTGGTATCTGTGATAAAGAAAAATCTTATAAAAATCCAAGCTGTCTGGGCATTATGAAAAGATAACTAAAAATTACCTGGATTTGGAAATACATTTCTAGAACAGCCAAGAAGATTCTTGCAGTAGAGTCTATTTACAAAGTAAAGCCCCAACTTTACAGTCCTTCCCGAAGTTATACAGTATGGCAAGAAATAAAAAGACTTAGGCAAAAAGCATGTAGTTCCAAAACACATTGCTTAACTTTTATATAAAGTTATGAAGTAACTATGGGTCATATCAAGTAAACACTATTAAAGGAGCTGTAATTAACCACAAGGGGGCAGAACTCACACTCCTTAGGTTCCAGCAGAAAGACTGGTTTTTAAGTAGTAACACACTTAGGTGCAGTCTACAATGTTTTTTGTCATTTAAAATTTTACAACTTTTCAACATCTAAAACTTACTTTAAATCTACCTAAAAAGATTCCAGAATACTTCCTCCCTGAAAAACTGCAGTGTTCCAAGTCTCTGGAAATATTGCTATTATCTGTTAGCAAAGGATTCAAGAGCAATTAGTTCTAATATACATTAGAACAGATAAACAATAGGAAAATACGGCCTAAAACAGTACAGTAGCAACTTTTAGTTTATCATAAATGGAAGACATTGGAAGTTTATTTAAAAACGGGACATTTCAGTATAGCAAAAATAAGAGGATGGAAAATACGGATTTTTCTGTGCGTGTGCCACAATGTCCCTCCATTCCTCCTCTATCACCACAATGCATGCGTAGCTCACAATAGCAAATCAAAGTCTTTCCCACAAAGTCACGGCCTGTGGGGCTGGCCTGCCTCGTCAGCCATGTTGAGAATATAGTTAGCCATGTCATCTTCAGTGGGTGCGTCTGACACCACCCAGGACTCATTTGCTCCAGTCATCTGTAGGCGACAAATGGGGCAATTCCTGTGTCGATCACTCCTGTTAGGGAAGGCCAAGCAAAAGAAGTTTGTTTCCTTTCCTCCTTTTTAAAAAACAGGTTTGAAAAGTAATACATGTACATGGCTTTCAAAAATGTGAACATAAAAGTACACAGTGAGGAATTAATCTCTCTCTATCCCAACCTTTCATTCTCTTTTCCAGGGTCAATCAGCTGCTTATATATTTGCTAGACAGGTTAAAAACATCAAGCTTATATGTAAATATAAAAGTGTGTGTCGCACTGATCTTTGTAGTGTCCATCTATTGTACAGATTATTATGTACCAGCAGATATCCTCCTTTTTTCCTTTTTTCCTTTTGAGACAGTCTTACCATGTAACCACCCCAGACTTGCCTGGAACTTGCCATGTTCCTGACTCAGCCTGCTGAGTGCTGGGATTACAGGCTTGTACCACCACGGCTGGTTTATAATTATTAAACATATACTGTAGGGTATGCCATAATTTACTTAATTAGTCCTGATAGAAAGATATTTAGCTTTCCCCCCATCTTGTTTGCTACCACAAGTGAATACCTTTAGTCTTACTCCTGTACTCAAATCAGTCAAGTTTTCCTTTGAAAATGGAAGATTTGGTCAAAGTGTAAAGTATAAATATTAATTTGTATTTGGATGGAGGTTACTGCCTTTGGGGTCACTTTTGGCCAATGTGGTCTGGCACAAGTAGCAGCAAAGGTTACTAATAGCTATTATTTCATGCAATATATAAATGATTTTTGGTAATAGAATTATAAAGGTCTAAAAAAAGGTCCTTTGGCTCAAAAACAAGAAAACTTTAGGAAATTGTACAAAAATGGAGCATTCAGGTTTAAAATAAGAGATGAAATTTATATGTAGGATAATTTTTCATATAAAGAACACATATAAGATTACTTAAAATTATGTTTTTCAAAGGGATTTATTTTATTGCTAAATACTACTTTGGAAACTTAAAAATACCATATTTGAGGCAGGAAAAGAAAATATTTTTCTCTTCATCTACTAGTGAAATCTAAGACCTAAGTAATCAGAGTGTATCAACTGTTCTTTACCAAAACTTGAGAAATATTCCAAAAACTGTATGTGAAATTTAGAGTTGGCATATATTATTCAGTTGATTTTTGGTTCCCCAGAGATATTTTACAAGATAATTATATGTGCTTTCTGTGCATAAGCCATCACACTTTAAAAATCAATTTCTGCTTCTGCCCAGCAGGGACCAGATTTATCTTTCTACTTAACTTACATCACAGGACAAAATGGCTAATGCTGTAAGATCAGGTTTAATACCAAGTACTGGACATTAGACAAGGACACGGCTCCTGAGAGGTGAGAAGCAAAGTGAGCCCGTCACTGCCAAGACAACTGCCTTGTAAGTTTCCAGGCCTCAGAAACAGCATCAGGGAACCTGAGAGGTGCCTGGCAGACTCCAGGGTCTGAAGAAACAGCAAAGTCTCCTGGGGACAAGGCATCTAGAGCTCACAGGGCAGAGCACTGGACAGGAGAGCTTCACAGTGGGAGAATTCTGGAGGTAGACAGTCCCCTTCACTGAGCTGATCTTTGTGAGCATGTGAGCAAATGCCATGAGGCTGAGGGTTTGAGGGATGCCCCAAAGCCCACACAGGGCACGGGATAGCGCTCCCACAGTTGAGTGGAGCCCTCCTAACTCTGAAGCACCAAGTAGAGAACTCTGAGGGATCTTGCCTGGTTAGTGGAGTGTAAGTAGCATCAAATTAAACACTGCTCTGATCTTGCCTAATGAACTGCAAAGCAGGGCCCCAAATGGACATACTGCTGCTAAGTAAGCCAACTGTATCCCAGAACAAAGCTAAGAGTATTACAATAATGAAAACAGTTGCTACCTTAAAAAAGGTAACAATCACAGTATCTGGCACTCAATCAAAAAGTAGAATACATATAAAGAAACAGCAGAAAATACCATGAGCCACAATGAGGAGAAAATCAAAACAAGCCAGAACTGACATGATATTAGAACTAGCAGATAAGAAAACTCAAAGTTATAAGTATATTTCACATATTCAAAATACTACAAGGAGATCCACTATATCAGGTAGGACACAGAAGCTATTAACAATGGAAATTAAATTTCTAGAAATGAAAACCAAAATATACATGGTAAACACCTTTATGTCAGATAGGACTGATGGCAAGTTAGACATTGTAGAAAAGATATAAGCGAATTTGACAAGACATAGTGATTACCCAGTCTGAAGTACTAAATCAAATATGTTATATTTGGTATTGGGGATCCCAGAAGAATGCAGAAAAGGAGACCTAAGAGACTGAAGACAAAAATGGCCCCAAATTTCTAATAACAGTACCATCAACCTACATGGCAATAAGCTCACGCACAAAAAAACATGGAAAAAAGAACAATGATTCGGAGACTCCTCATACTTGAGTTGCTTAAAAGCAGTGAAAAGATAAATCTTACAGCAACAGAGGAGGGGACAGACTGCTCCTGGAGAGCCAGATGAGGTGGCCACATCACTTCAGTGCTGGAGGGAAAACACTCTCAGCCTAGAATTTTGTGTCAGAAAAAGTATCTTTGAAAAACAATATTCAGATGTTCAATAAAATTCTATGGATCTAAAAAGAAGGCGACCAGATCTAACATGTGAATTTACTAATAGTGCAGGATACAAGATTGCTACAAAAGCATCTAGTGTCTTTTTTGTATATTAGCAACAAACAAAAATTGAAATAAAATACATTTAGAATAGCACAAAACTATAAAATTCCCAAGGACAAATTTGTCATAGATATACGATACTGAAAACTAAGAATTGCTCACAGAAATTAAAGAGCTAACTCTGGCTATTAAGAAGCCAGCTCTTCCATACTGATCTATTTAGTCAGCATCACCTCAATCAAAGTCTCTTTTCAGAACTTGATATACTAATTCTAAAATTCCTATTAAAATCTAAAAGATCCGGTACAGTCCTGATGACTCTGAAAAGGAAGAGTTGGAAAGCTAACTTCCCTAAGTTTGAGACCTACACAGCTACACTAACCAGGGCAGCACGGCACTGCAGTGAACAGACTTACATCAATGGGAGAGAAGAGTCCAGACGCAGACACATATTTGAACAAGTGATTTCCAAAAAAGGTTCAAAGGCAATTTAGTGAAGACAAGTCAGTCTTTCAACAAAGTAACTCAAAATAGAGTACAGACTTAAATGTAATGTAAAGCCTGAAACTTTGGATTTGGAAAAGATCCCTTAGATATGACACCAAGACCATTATCTATATGTCAAAAATTGAAATTTAACTTCAGTAAAAATTAAACTCTGCTCTTCCACAGGCATTCTTTTTAAAAAATTATTTATTTATGTGTATGAGTGTTATGCCTGCATGTGAGTAAGTGCATCCGTGTCATGCAATGCTTGTGGAGGACAGAAGAGGGTCTCGGATCCCCTGGAACTGGAGGTACAGACAGTTGTTAGCCACCATGTAGGTGCTGGGATTTGAACCTGGGTCCTCTGTGAGAGCAACCAGTGCTCTAAACTGATGAGGCATCTCTCCAGCCCCCAAAGAGGCATTCTTAAGAGAATAAAAAGACAAGTCATAGAGGAAGAAAATATGTACAAACCATATACCCTATCGGATAAAGCAAAGCTCTCAATAAAGAAATAGGCAAAGATTCAAACAGACACTTCATCTAAGGAGACACACAGATGGGAGATCAGCATGTGGGAAGCTGCTCATCATCTATCAGTAGGGAAAGAGCACAGGAACTATAATGAGGTATTACTACATGCCTAATTTCAAGATAAAATTACAAAAGCTGAGCACACCAACCAAGTACAGGCAAAGATGCAGAGCCAATGGAACTCCTATGCAGTATTGGTGGTGGTACAAAAAGTATGAGCCAGGCATGGCAACAAACTCCTTTAATCCCAGAACCAGAAGGATGAAGCAGAATTGCTCAAAGTTTGAGTTACAACTAGTCTAGGCTACACACTGTAAGATCTTGTCTTAAAAACAATCAAAACTTAAAAAACTATGACTGCTTTGGGAAAGACTTGGAAATTTCTTGATAAATTAAAACAGCCACCTGCCATATGATCTAGCCATTCTAGGTATATACCCAACAAAAAGCCAAACTAAATGTCTATGAAAATACTTGCCCACAAACATAAAATTTTATTTGTAATTGATCAGCCCCTATAATATGGATAACTCTTAATTATACTGAAAAAGAGAAGCTAGATAACAGAGAAAGTACATTTCTATGATGCAAGGTAAAAAAATCTACAAAATTCAAAGTATTTTTAGCAAACAAAAGCAATTTGTGGCTGCTTGAGAATTAGGGTAGAAAGGCTACTTTTCAGTGGGGTACAAGGTGGTCAGGGGAGTAATGGTTTTGCTCCTTATCTTGATCGTGAGGACAGCCTTTATGGGTGTGCAAATACATCAAAGCACATCGAATTCTACTTCAAATACAGTTTAGTGCATGCCAATTATAAATTTCCCTAAACGCTCCATTAATTTGGAAGAAAAGGAACTTAACTAGCTGGCCTCTAGAGTCTTCCAGATCCAATTGAAATTTAAGGATTTCTGAAATACTTATAAGGTAGTATAGAAATGAGAAAATCTATTTGAACCAGTAGGAGGCATGTCATAAAACCTGGAGTACCAAAGAACAAAATTCTTCAGTATTTATTATGCAGTACTTAACATTTTCATTTGTTTATTCATATACACTATCCTATTTGACCTCTGCTTACCCCTGAAGGCGGCAGATAACTTACCATTTATCAATACACTTCTGACAAAAGCTGTGAGCACAAGGCAGGATGAGGTCAGCGCGCCCATCCATGCAGATGCAGCACTCCTCCTCATCGGTCAGCTGCTTCACCCTGCAGTGTGAAACAATGATATTCTCTGTCCACATGCTTTCTGCTTTGTTTTCATAGCCTTAAAAAGCATTACTAACCACCCACAGTATAAAGCACACCATGACTTATGTGCGAAGTTAACATCAGACTAAAATTAGCATCTTTTAGGGATATCAAATATATTAGGGAAGAAATACTAAGAAATTTCTTTATAAAAAGACTATAAAAGAAATTCTGTTAAAACAGAATTTGAACAAAAACTGCATATTCTGGTCTTTCTGAAATAACTCAGCCCACGTTAAGCATACTGAATTTACATACATGAATTCAAACAATATCTAACTTATCAAGCAAAAAGGACACAGAGCTGTGTAAACATGGACCCTGCATCAGGACCTTACAGTGACTGATACTGGCAGTGCAGAGAAGGGAAAGAACGGCTCAGTCTTAAGTGTCAGATGCCATGGGAAACAGAAGGGCTAGAATGCAGCTCTGCCCTCAGTTCTTTCTGGGAGAAAAGACATGCTGAACTTTCTACTCGAGCCACAGTCCACAGCGCCCATATGAGCCCACACCTTTGCACAATGTTCTCCATTCTTGGAAATGCCTTCCAGAGTGTAGTGAACTCCAGCTTTGGTAATCCAGCTCAAAATATCCATTTCTCCTCTGCTCTCAAAACCAGTATCTGTCTCAATCCAATGATTTAAAAATCTGATATGGTTGTTCCATGATCAGTGACCTTGTAGTTTTTTGACTATGGTGTTTCTTGAAGAAAGTTTTAATTTTTTTGTTCTTTGTGCCTTTCTGCTATTTTTAAACTTTATGAAGCATGTATGGCTTTTATAATTATACAAAAACCAAATGCAGGTACAAAAAGAAAGTCACAGAGGATGAAACAGAACAAAACAAAACACAAAACCCATGTATGCGCATGTGCAAGCACATGTAAAAGAAGGCTGGCCTAATGTTCTGGGGTTAAACTGAGAAAAAGACTGATCGTACAGCAAAGATAACCCGATTCTTACATGCCAAGAGAATCAAGTCTGAACTTGCTCTGACCAGCAAACTAGAATCAATGTTTAACCAGGGGAAAGTGAACTCCCACTGAGACAGTACTTTAGGAAGACACACAGAGTAGAGAATGAGGGACAGTCTAGAAACAGGAAAGAAGAGAGCCATGTAAACGAGGCTAGAGACACTCATTCTGGAGAGAAGGCTCAGTGAGAATCTGATTTGTTTTCAAACATTTGAAGGCTGGAAGAGATCAGACTTGTTTGGTGGAATTCTGGAGGGCACAGCACTGTAAACAAGAATACCCTAATACTTTAATAATGACGACAGTTAACTCATCCAGGCAACACTGTTATGTGCCTGGCACTGCTCTAATGTGCCCATCTATGAGCTTGCTTAACTTTCTTAACAGTTCCCTGGGGCAGATACTGCTGCTCACAACCTCCTTCAAAAACCTTTACCCCAGTCAGAATGGCTAAGATTAAAAACAACGACAATGCTACTAGCATGGATGTGGGGAAAGAGGGAGGCGAAATAACACTTACTCACTGCTGGTGGAAGTGTAGCCATATGGAATCAATGTGGAGATTCTTCAAAAAGCTAGAAATAGATCTACCATACGAGTCCAGTTATATCAGCCCCACGCATGTTCCCAAAGGACTCTATGTTCTCCTACAGAGATACTTGCTCATCCACGTTCATTGCTGCTCTATACACAATGGCCCAGGAAAGAGCAACAGCCTAGATGCCCATCAACTGATGAGTGGATAATGAAAATGTATATACACACAATGGAATACCATTCAGCTGTAAAGAAAAATGAAATTATGAAATTCACAGTTAATGGAATGGAGCTGGAAATAATCACTGTGAGTGAGTTAATACAGACCCAGAAAGACAAATTCTCTCTCCTATGGGGCTGTTAGGTTTGAATTTTTAGGTAAGTATATTTAAACTGAAGTACCCATAGAGGTCAGAAAACTAGTAAGGGACTGTTTGGGATGGATGTCAAGGGAAGGGAGACAGTAGACAGGTGGTATGGAGCAGGAAAGGGGAATGATGGAAGAGGAAGGGTTAAATGGGATGGAGGATGAGAGGGCAAGGTAGAGGAGGGAATAAGGGAAGGATAACTAACACCAAAGACCTTTGACAAAGTCATATGGAAGCCTAGTATTACAGAAGCTTCCTAAAATACATACATATATAAAAGGAATTTAAGTGGTGTTATCCTATAATGGGGGACACAATGCCTTTCCCAGACACCATAGGCTATCAAAAGCCCAGTGCTATGCATGAGTTACCTCTTCTGGAGTTGTTGGTCAGTGGGGTACCATAGACTCCCCCACTAACATTAAAGGCTGTTGGCATTGCTCTTGGTTATCCCCCAGAAGTTGATGGACCCTATGCTGAAGACACCATGTACTTGCGTACAGGACATGAAGAAATCAAGCTGATACCAACCTGGAAACTTTATCCCTACCAGCTAGCTTTCATAGTGCAGGAAGGTTCTATGCAGACTGCTAAGGGGAAAAAATAACCAATAGTCTTACCCAGTTGTTAACCCTGTGAGCTATAATGATTGGCCTGGCAAAATGTGCCCACTGGTGCAATAGGGCACAAATGTTATGGGAGTGACCAACTACTTTCTGATTGAATTTAAAGCCTGCTCCCCAAGATGGAATTCATGCTTGGTACCATTAGCTAGGCCAAAAACCTGTGGCTGGCTAGGTCATAGGTTCAAAGGGAGAATCTAATACTTACGGACATAGTAACAAACTTTCCCCTAACTTCTTGCCTTTGTACCCATGGATGAGTGTATTTCCCAACCCACATCAGAGAAGCTTCTTTTTATAGTAGATGGCAATTAGTACAGAGACCCACAACTGGTCATTATGCAGAGAATAAGAGACTATGGAGTGCTCAGTCCTAAATGAGACATCTATAACACATCCCCTCTCTCCAAGGCTCAGGGATCATCCCAGAAATGGGGGCAGGAAGATCATTAAGAGCCAGAGGTAGTGGAAATTGGCAGGAAACACTATTTGCTGGATATGACAGGGCCAATACACAGATAAATACACAGCAGCTGTGACTGCATGGAGCACAAGATCAAGTCAGCCAAAATTCCAGCATGGAGACGGGAGGAGCCCATCCAGTCCCACTCTAGCTTGAAGAGCTGGCAACTGATGAGTGCTGGAGAATAAAGTCAGTTTTCTTCAGGGGTATGGCCAACACTCATGCACATACAGGTACGCACTAAGTAGGCTCAGTGAACTTTTTAAAAGAGCATATATTACTACATTCTATACCTGCATTCTATCTTCTGTCCCATGAAGCCTCTGCCCCACCCTCCCCAACCTCTATGGATTTTCCAATTTAAATAGGCCTATCTAAGGATTCAAAGCTAGCATCCACTTGTAAAAGAAAACATGTAATGTATGTCTTTCTGGGTCTGAGTTATGTCACTCAGGATGACTGCTCATACAGTGATACAAAGAGGGGAAAAGAGACCAATGGAGTAGGAAAGGTTAAAGGGGTTGGGGAATGGAAGGGTAGGGCAGAGGATGGAGGACGGGGACAGATAACACTGAAGGTCTTTAGAAAAAAAATCATATGAAAACCTACCACTACATAAGCTTCTCAAGAGTACATACATACACAATATAAAGAGATTTAAAGGAGTTACCCTATAGCAGGGGGGCATTGTCCCTACTGGACATCAAATGCGAGCAAAGAAGAAGCCCAATGGCAGGAATAGGCTCCATCTTCTTAAGTTGTTGACCAGAGGTTCCATAGACCCTCAAATGATACTGGCCATTGCTCCTGATCTTAGTTACCCACCAGAATTTGAGAGTGAGATCCTATTGCTAAAGATACTACACATGCCGGGTGTGGTGGCGTACGCCGTTAATCCCAGCACTAGGGAGGCAGAGGCAGGCGGATCTCTGTGAGTTCAAGGCCAGCCTGGTCTACATAGTGAGTTCCAGGACAGCTGGGGCTACAGGGAGACCCTGTCTCACAACAGAAGCTTCTTAAAGTATATTCATATACACCATAAAACAGAATATAAGGAATCACCTTATCACAGGGGAACATTGACAGTATTAAACAGGATAGACTCACAAAGTAAAAGCCCAATGCCATAAATGAATTCCCTCTTTGGATGCTGTTGCCCAGGAACACTCTAAAATCTTAAACAGTACTTGGTTATAGCTCCTGATCTTGGTTATCGACAAGAACTTCACAGTAATTTCCTATTTCTGAAGACACAACATGTAGGAGTTGTAGAACAAAGAAGAAGAAATCAAGCTGGTACTGAATTCAAGACTTATCTCTACAGGCTAGCTTTCATAGTGCTGGAAGGGGCTATGCATGCTACCAGAAGAGAAAAGTAATCATCAATGTTGCCCAGCTGTGAATTTAGAGAGCTACAACTGGTCTGGCAAGATAGGCCCAATTGTGCAATGGTAGGATGAATGTTGTGGAAGTAACCAATGACTTTCTGATTGGATTTAAGGTCCACTTCAAAAGATGGAGTCTATATCTGACATTAATATCAGGCCCAGGAACTTGTGGCTAGACAAGCTACAGGCCATAGGGAAGAGCACATTACTATTGTTCTGATAAACATAGTATTAAACTGACTCCTAATGACTTATTGTTATACTGATGGACTAATGCATCCCTCAACTCTCACCAGAGAAGCTCCCTCATGCAGTAGATGGTGACAAACACAAAGACCCACAACTGGCCAACATGTCGAGAATAAGAGACTGCAGAGGGCTTATCCCTGAATAGGATACCTATATCAAACCTCTGCCACCCAACGCTCAGAGATCATTGGAGAAGAGCAGGAGGAAAGATCATGAGAGCCAGAGGCGGCGTACAACCACAAAGAAACAGTGTTCCAGACAGCTGATGTCTCCCAATTGGCTAGTTCCTCCAAGGGGCAGGGCCTGCCATGGAGGGTGGACTACTGAGGGGATGCTGGGAGCCATCCTGAAACGGAAGCATGGCATGGGGAATGCGCAGCCGTGCAGCAGCTCAAGGACAGAATGGCCTGACACTTATGGACCTGGGGCAAGATCGCTGGCCCCTGAATCATGAGCGAATGCTAGTGGTGACTATGGGCATGGCTGGTCTGATATGGCAGGTTCTGAGCCGAGCCACTGGAGCTGAGCGGCTCGGGTCTAGGCACTGGGTACTCATTCCTTTGTAAGTTACCCCCCACCCACAATAAGAGTAAATGCACATAAAGATATATTATATGGTTTTCTTGATAGCACAAGAGACCCAGAGAGACCACGGGCAACAGTTGGTGAGTTACTCAAATGAACTCACAGCAATGGTGATGGCATGTCCAAGACCCACACAAGCTTAAACTAGACAAAACACCTCCACAGAAGTGGGAAAGTGGGCAAGAAACTGCAACCCTAGCTGAGGAACTACTGGTAATGAACAGCTGCTGAGAGGGGAGAGTTCCTTTTCTTTAGGGGTGTGATACCAGATAGGTGAAACTGGCTCCTGTGGATGGACCAGCACCAAACATCATCTAGGGACACAAATTTGACTCTATAGGCCTTAATATATATAACACAGTACATGAAATTGGGCAGAGGGTATTAAGGGGAAGGTACAGATAAGGGTGGGGTCTAAATATGATCAAAACATATGAAATTCACAAAGATTCAATAAAAAAATTTTAAAAAGCACATGAGGTTGGGAAGGAAAACTGGTAGGGGGATAGGGGAGGAAATGGGGAGTAGATTTGGTCAAAATACATTATATACATGTATGAAATTATCAAACAATTTAAAAAAAGCTAGACTCAGAAATACCAAAAAAAAAAACCTTCCCAGTGATTAGCACCATATAAAGGACTGCTTCTCTCAATGAGTCTCATACAGCTGCAGGCTTAGTGGTAGTCCAACCTGTAAGTAGAAGCTGGTTTTCACTTGGCAAAATATGGTTAGATCAATAGGCACTGGAGCACCTCAGAGTGCGACAGAATCTCTGGCTCCTCCTCCAAACCACTAAACTCTAACAGTCTAAAAGCAAGTCTTAGCTAGGTCAATTTCTAATCAAGGTATTTATCTGTCTAAATCTATTTCTTGATCTGACATAGGCCAATAATTATATTCCTATGGGGTTATTGTTGGGACTTAATGAATTGTAATACCCTATAAGTATTCACTAAATTTAAATCATTAACAGAACCTTGTAACCAATGTGAAGCAAGACTGCACAGAGGCCCCAAAGATCCCCTCCTACTTAGAAGGCTTTTCTGTGAAATGGTGTATCAGGGCACCACTATAAGCCAAAAATATTTGAAGCCAAGAAGCAGGCTTAACTAACCAACCAGGAATCAGTTTTCCCACTCTCAAGGGCACAGGAAAAATTAACTTTTACCTTCACTAAGAGGACTGCACCAAGAAAGGAAGTCTCACTTGGCTACCATATGGCTACAGACACAAGTAAAGACCACTCAACAACAACAACAACAAAACCCCACCACCCTGAAGAAGGAAAAGAAAAAGGCAAAAAACTGGAAAATATAATTTAACTATAAGAGAGTATTTGGAAACTGGCTGGTTGAGAACAGAGCAGAAAATTCAACTGTGAATAAAGAAATAAAAGAAAAACTCCAGTTAACTTTAAATAGATTTCTGCTATCTACCCAGTGTTACAGTGTAAGAGAGGATGTCAGCTGATGGAACCCTGTAAGTCTTTTTCCAATGAGGCACTTAAACACATTTATATTTCGGTCATGCCGTGCATGGGAACAGATGGAAGCTTTCACAGGACAAAAGCATAAGGAGAGGAAAGCTTAGATGGAACAGTTATTTTGTCTTTTTTTTTTTTTTTTTTTTTTCCTTTTCTGGAGCTGAGGACCAGACCCAGGGCCTTGCACTTGCACCACTGAGCTAAATCCCCAACCCCAAGAAAGCACAGATGGAACAGTAATCTATGGGACCTGAGCAAACAAGCTCCACCACAGAAACCTTGGCTGGCTTCCTTCCCTTCTGGTAATACAGTATGTAATATGTGAATCAACTGCTTCTTCCTTCCTGAATAGACTGCCAAGGCCTGGAGACAATACTTAAACTTTTAATCCTCCAATTAGAAAATTTCTGAAATGACTGTGCCAAATTCTTGGGCCCAATTTCATAAAGGGCTTTGACTGCCTAAGTATCTACCTATTAAGGGGAGGCGTTAGTATCCCCCTTTGCCATTAAATCAAAGAGTGGATTCCTGGAGCTTAGGGTCACAGAAAACTTCCTGGTGTGAACCACTAAACAGCGGCTGAGATAACATTTCACAGGGCATTAGCAAAAATATTACTGAGCTACCAGTGTTTTACTTATTACACTGTAACTATGCATTGTATACCTGCCCATCCAAAGACTAGCCTGACAAGATGAAACAGAGGATGAGTTTTCATCCGGTTCTTCAGAAGTAGAGCTCTGAGCCAATACTCCAGCAGCTTGACTTGTGATGTCTTTATAAAGTTGAATAAACTGGTATAAATTCATGATTCGAGAAGCTTCCACAACACCACTGCTTTTGTTAATCTAAAAAAGGGGGGGGAAGCAACACAAGCACACAAATATTTAGTCAAACAGCCTAAGAAACAGAAGTTTAAGATTTCCAAATTATCTAGAAAAACAAGTCTGAACAAATTTATGTATAAATCTCTGAGTTCAAGGCCAGCCTGGTCTGCATAGTGAGTTCAAGGACAGCTGGGGCTACAGGGAGACCCTGTCTCAAAAAGACCAAAAAAAAATATATATAAATATATATATTCATAAATTTATATATATATGAATATATATATTCATTCCTTAAGTTGTGGGGTTCAGAAAACTTACTAAATTTTCTCATTTGATACTCAAAATAACCTTGTAAGATTGATTAGACACCATCCTCTATAGAATTCATTAGATCAGGTAACTGTCCCAGAGTTAAGAAACAAATTTTAGAGATTAATATTGAAAATCTTTTACTTTTTTAATTAAATCTTTTTGAGATGGGAACTTGCTATTTAGCAGAGTGGCCTAGAACTTGGGATCCTTCTGCCTCAGTCTCTTGAGTGCTGGTGTTTATAGGCATGTATCATCATAACAAGATAATAATGTTTTAACAGAAGAATTTGTTTAACCCTAGTACCGCGTGGCAATCTGCTATAACTGAAATGCACCTTTTTCTTTTTTGGGGTGTGTGTTTGTGTATACATGTCTGTGTGTATAAGTGTGTGCATAGAAGCCAGAGGTCAACCTTGGTTATCGTTCCTCAGGACACTGTCCACCTTCTATCTTAAGGGTTTTTTGTTTCTTAGACAAGGTCTGTCATTTGGCCTGGAACTTGCAGATTTCATTATGCTAGCAGACCAGCAAGCTTCAGGGATCAGCCTATCTTTCTCTCCTCAGCCCTGAGATCACAAGCATGCTGTAATGCTTTAAAACAAAACAAAACAAAACATGGGTTCTGGGGATCAAACTCAGGCCCTTATGCATGCATGGCGAATACTTTACCAACTGAGCTATCGCCCCAGTCCTATTCTTAAATATCTTTAAGTTCTATTTTGTACTTCTACTAGTCAGAAAGCCACATTAAAGTAAATACTAACAAAAGTAGTTGAATTTTGAGCTTTTACAAATTTTTATTTCCTATGAAGTAGGACCAGCCTAGAGACTGCCTTTGCAGACTGTATAGCTCCCCTCGAGTTTATAATTGGATGTGAGAAGATATTTGTGGCAAGAATAGAGGATGCTCTTGTACTAGGTCTAACTATGAACTGTTTACTATTTGAGAAAGCAGTAAAAAGTACTGAGAATTGGGGCTGGAGTGATGGCTCAGCAGTTAAGAACACTGACTGTTCTTGCAGAGGACCTGGGTTTGATTCCAAGAACCCACATGGCAGCTAATAACCATCTGTAACTCCAGTTCCAGGAGAATCTGATGCCCTCTTCTAATCTTCGCGGACAATGCACGACATGGGTGCACTTACCTACATGCAGGCAATACACTCATACACATAAAATTAAAAAAAAAAAAAGGTGCTGATAATTGCTGGTGTGGTGGTGCACGCTTTTAATCCCAGCACTTGGGAAGCAGAAGCAGGAGGATCTCTGAATTTAAGGCCAGCCTGGTCTACATAGTGAGTTCCAGGCTAGCTGTGGCTACAGGGAAGACCCTGTCTCAAAAAGACCAGACAAAAAGCACTGAGAATCAAGAATAAGTCAGACTTTGTGCTGTGAGACTAGGAGGATCAATAAAAACTGATTAAATTTTGGGAAGGTAAAATCAATTTGGAGACTCATTTTACACACGGTTCTTTTAGTAAAAGACTATATAGAGTAGAAAACAAATAGATTTAAATAGGACATAAAATTTATAAAAACTTGTAGAATATGCCTTCAAGAGCTGAGGAAAGTGGGCCAGTGTTCCTTTGAAACTGCATAACACAGAAGAAATTAGAGTAATTCATATAAGCTTAGTACTGAACTAATGCATTGTATCACACAGTAACTATTCTAACCACAGAACACTGTAATAACATTGGGCATCCACAGTGTCTATACTGTAGATATTATGTACACTGTTCTAGGTACTGTACATCTCAGGGGCAAGATTGCTTCAGACTGCAACATTTGTCATGAAAAGGTCATGTGACTGACATGCACAGTGAGAAGCACAAGGAATCCAGCAAGGAGCCTGGAGGGGGTGAAACAGGGAGAGAAGTGGTGACAGGTAAGAAAGTGAGGCAAAGACAGAATACACAGGACTTTGCTGATCATGGTACTGACTGGTTTTTGCTCCAAGTGCACAGGAAGTGACTGGAACACTTTGAGTCAAGAAGTAATACACTTCAAGTGTGATGTGGAATGGACTGGCTGTGCTGAGAACACACTAAGGGATGCAAGAACACAAGCAGGAGACCAGCTAGGAGGTGACTGGAACACTGGTGAGAGGCGTTGGTAGTACGAACAGGGTGAGAACAGAGTGGACATGGTGAAAGCCAGCCAGATTCCAAATATGGAGAGGAGAAGGAAAGCCGAGGACAACTCCAAGGTTTCAGTCTAAGCACAAGTATAAAATACATAATTCATGAAGTTTCTTGTATGTGTGCACATATGTATAAGTGTGCTCTATGTATGTACATGTGTGTAGAGGCCAGAGGTCTACCTCAGGTATTGTTTCCCAGGATGCCTTCTACCTGTTTTTTGACACGGGGTCTCTCATGGGCTTGGTACTCAATGATCTGGCTAGGCTGACTGGCCAGGGAACCCCTAGGGGTCCTCCAGTCTCTGCCTCCCCAGTGCTAGGATTACAAGCGCATACTACTGTGCTAGGCTCCCTGCCCGCCGTCCCGCCGCCACTGTGGGTTCTGGGGATCAAACTCAGGTCCTCATGCTTGCATGGCAAGAACTTTACTGACTGAGCTACCCCCCACCCCTTGCATCCTCTCATTAAGCTTCCTGACAGCCACTTCGGCACATAATTTTTAATTAACCTATTAATTTTTCTAATGTTATTTCCACAAAATTTCCCATCTAATTATGATTTGTAAGTCTTTAAAATGACTTAAATACTATTTGATGATAATTATAATGGTGTGTATACACACAAAATGAGGTCTTAATATAAGATGGAAGCTTAAAGTACAAATGTTTTAAATTGATTAAGATTCATAAATATGAAGCTTTTAGGCAAGTGTCCTGATGGATGCCTATAATCTCAACACTCTGGACTGTGAGGCAGAAGGATTGTGAGTTTCAGACCGCCCAGGGCTACACAGTGAGACTATAATTCAAAAATTAAAAAAATAAATAAATAAAGAAACACAATGCTTTCAATCTCCTATTAGCTTTCCACGCTGGACTTAATTCCTCCTAAGGCAAATACTGACTTCCCAAGATCTTTTGCAAAGAAGTGAAGGAATACAAGCAAATTCTTTGGAATAGATCTACGAAGAAAAAAAAAATCATAGGAAAGATTGCTCTAACTGCCCTTGTCGTTAATACTTTTGGCTTTTCCTACTTAGAATCTTAAGGAAGACATTTAGTTGAGTACAGTAATTTAAACTGTGCAGTAATAGTTAAAGCTACTGGGGCAAACAAGGATTTGACTAATAATAACATCAAACATTAACTCTGTGCCAAAAGGAGCAACAGAAAATTAAGGGACGAAATCCCTGAAGCATTTATATTCTGATGGTCTAGAGTTTACAGCGGTCTTTCAATGTAAACTGAGTATTTTATGAAATAGGATGGAGAGTGACTAGAATTTAGGTAACACAGGGCATCAAAACACAAGGGAAGCTTCAACCCCAATCATGAAGAAAGAGAAAAAAGTATTTTCAATCATTCACCACAAGCTGAGTTACCAAATGCAAAGCACTGGATTTTAACTGTTAAGAGATACAGGAATAGTTCCTGACTAAGGAGCTTACTATCAACCAGAAAGCCAAGAGCCTAAATAAACTATTTCATTTTTAATGGTGAATATTAACTATGAAGTATAAAGAGCTGCCAAAATTTAGAAGAGGCAAGAGAATTCCTGAGAAGGGAGACCTTATGGCTGAGATAGGTGTTTGAGGTGGACCTTTGGAGACATCACGTTTCAACATGCAGAAATAAAAGCAGCAGCAGAAACAGCTGGCTGACCATCTAAGCACTGTTTCCACTTTCGTTGCTTAGAAAGCCTGATTTTATTCTGGCATTCTTCGCTACCTGAAATGAACAGGAGTCAATACTGGTCAGTTGAATCTAAACCAGTCATTCCTTCTACCAGTGTGTGTACAAAGGGGAAGTGACCTAATATTGACAAATGGGTTATGGAGATCTGTTGGGCCTTCAACCAGTTCTGAAGCCAGTATATATCAAGATTTGCTAATAAGTGAAAAAGTAGTTTCTGTTTAAACTACCTTAAAAGGAGTTTTCTGTGACCTGCAGCTGATGACAATGTTGACAGAACATTCCTGTTGAGGGACTTAGTAAGCAGAAGGTCTGATGTGGAAAAATAACAGCCTCAGTTAGGTAAGACTAGAGGGCATGCAGAGGTGCAAAAGGGAGCAGTAAACAAAGTAGAAAAAGAGTAGAATGGAGTCACCCTGCAGAGGGCTGTGGGCGCCACATTGAGGAGCAGGGGACATTCTGTGAGAACTGCCGAATTTTAAGCAGGGAGTGAGCTGAGGAGAACCGTGCTTCAGAAAGGTCACGGACAGCAACATAAGCTGGAGTGGGGAGATTCTGGAGGTGTGGAATTATACCAAGGCTATGATGTTCTGGATTGAAGGGACAGGGCCTGAACTGAAAAGTTTCCTTGAAGACACGGAACTACCTCCTTTATCATACACTGCACTCTTAGTGCCTCCTGTAACTGTGCTCACAGTTCTGTTTGAATAAACTGGAAGCAGAACATAGCAGATTTAAAACTGACAACCCTCTAGGGAAATGTGACATACTATCAGGGCAATTTCTGGGCTCTGTGACTCATTAACATTTTTTACAGTATGTTATGATACTGGTTCTAGTTTATTTTATATGTGTGTGTATTTATTTTCATACAAATTACTTTTTTTTTTAACGAATGGAATCCAGTGCTCATAAAAGAAATCATCTCCGAGAGAATGTTAATTTTTAAGACTGTCCTTTATCCTTTGTGACTGTCTAACAGTAGCAGGCTCCAATCTTGCGCATAAACAGAGTATTACCTTCTGACCTAACCTGTTGCAGACTGTCAAGTGATGCACCCAGGGAGATTCTGATTGGTCAGGAATGGACTTCAGGGCACCCATGACTGTGTAACTTATAGCTCACTTGCATATGGGTGATTTCATTTTATCTTTGTTTTAGAACAGGTTGAGACAGAGGAGGGCTCATAAAGCTAATTTTCACTCAAAGGTCTACGGTTAAGAATTGCCTATTCTAATTAACTTATTGGGAGCATGAGGTTTTTTAAAACTCTGAAACAACTGTTTTACTATTTTTTTTTAGCACAATTGATAGGTTCAGTTATCTAAAATAAAAAACTGTAAGCTCGTATATTCCTGACCAAAAAAAAATCCATTTTATAACTCAAAATCACCAAAACAAATAAAAATTTTCTAATAGATTGCTTTTAAATGAATGAAATTCAGTGTTCTTAAAAGAAATGATTTACATCCAGGCATGGTGGCGCACACCTTTAGTCCCAGCACTAGGGAGGTAGAGGTAGGCAGATCTCTGTGAATTTGAGGCCAGCCTGGTCTACATAGCAAGTTCCAGGCCAGTTGGGGATACAGGGAGACCCCCATCTCAAAAAGACAAACAAACAAACAAAACAAACAAACAAATGATTTCCAGAGATGACTTTAAGGTTATTGTATCAGAGCTAAGCAGGATGTCATCTGGGGCTCCATAGTTGGTTCAAGCCCTCAAAGACAGATGGAAGGCAACATCAGTACCAAAACTATTTAGGGGTCGGGGAAATGGCTCAGTCAATTAAGTGCCACCTGTGCAGGCAGGAGGGCCTGAGCTCAGATCCCCAGCACCATACAGAAGGGGGCACACTGGTGAGTATCTATAAACCTGCTGCTGGGAGCGTGCAGATAGTCAGCTCTTGGAGGGTTTCTGGATAACTCCAGATTCAGTGAAGGCCCTGTCTCAAAAGATGACTCAGCAGTTGGAGCACTTGCTACTCTTACAGAGCACCCAGGTTCGGTGCCCAGCACCCACATGGTGGCTTGCAACTGTCTATAACTCCAATTCCAGGGGATCTGATGCCCTTTGGCCTCCTTGAACATTAGGCACACACATGGTGCACATCTGTATATGCAGGCAAAACACATAAAATAAAAAATATTTAAAAAACAACAAGGTGGAATGTAGTAGAGGAAAGCACTTGACAATGACCTCTGGTGTTTGTCCACCAGCAATACACAGAGACTACATACACTACACACACATACACACAAATAAATAAAAAAACTCATGCTTTTTAAGACTACTAAATTATTAACATTTATTTACAGTATATTATACCATTAAATATGATTCTAACTACCTAAATAGCATAAGCTCTGAAATGAAGGCCTTATTAACCTTACCTTGGTACACACAACCCGTACAACCACTTTCCAAAAGGCAGAGGAATCAGACCCAGGTTGTACCTCAAAAAGAAGATGTTTTTCCTGGCCAGCAGCCACCTTAGCAGTTCTGAAAAGAGGAAAGTACCTCAGTTATTTTTAGAAAAAGTAATAGAGCTATGAAACCAGATTTAAGAAACACTTGCAAGCAGGGAAGGAAAGAGGAAGAAAACACAGACAATAGCAAGTGATTGTATTAACTAGGTTACTACAACACAGAAACAGATAATGTTTGGAACGTGCACTTAATTTCCGAAGTTTTTAAAGTCAAAGGCTCTGAAGAATGTATTTCTGTCATATCTGTATTTCAGTGTCTAACAAAGACATTTAGAAAACAGCCTTGGGCATAATGATACCTATAATCTCTCAGTACTTAGGAGATGAAAGGAAGAAGAATCAGGAGTTCAAAGAGAATTTGAGGCTAGCCTGGGCTGTGTAAGATCCGGCCTAAACCAAACAAATACCCAAGAAATCTGGCATTTTAAGTAAAAGCTTTTCATTTACACAAATTTGACTATTGCCTCAGATATGTACAAATACTTAATGAAATATTTTGCTCTTGACTGAGTCCTATTTAAGTAACACATTACCATATCTTTCTGAAAGTTTTTAATTTGTTAACTTGGAGCTTCATCAGTAAAACAAATGATTTAAAGACTAAATATAGCTCTATTGTCCTTTCCCCATGAAATAACCTTGGAAGCCACAGAATTCTAACATAAAGGCCACACTTTCAGGGGCTAGTTCAGTATCCTGCTGTCAACACCAGTCTATATCAATGCAATGACCTACCTGAACACTGCAGCTCCCTTTTATCACTGCTAACATTTCTCTGAGACCAGTAGGGACACCATACACCTACGTGCCTTTCAGCTAAGTAAATGAGACCATAAAAAGAGAAAGCAACTGGTCTTAGTACATAGTCAATGAAAGTAATTCAGCGGTGCCAGTTTCCAGGTTTGCTGGCTGCCAGGCCAGGCCTCTGCATAGGTTTGACTTTATGGTTGGCAGAGAGCAGAGAACACTGTACTTAGAAATGCCCAACTCTAGCCCATGAAAATGAGCTTCAAGGCACATTGGTGGTATTGCTTACTGTGTACAGCAACGTCCAAGGGCTTGGGTTCAATTCTTAATACTGCAAAAATAAAAAAACACCCTAAATCCCCAAATCCAGTCAGAAGTAGCCTGTGCCAAGTAAGTAAAAGGAGTATTTTACCATCACATAATAATTTAGCTTATAGGTGATTTTATAGGACATGTTATTAAAATATAATCTTTAGGTCAATAGGCAAAATATTATCAAATAGTCTTGAGTTATGTATATAAATTCAAGGACCTGAGGATGGCAAATGTTATTAATTACTCTTCATAAGAGAACAACAGGAGCTGGAGAGATGGCTCAGAGGATAAAGGCCCTTGCCACCCAAGCCTGGCAACCTGAGTTCAACCCTTGGGGCTCTCATGGTGGAAGGAGAGAACCAAGTCCCCCCATGTTGCCCTCTGATCTCTATAAATGCACTGTGGTACATACGCTCCACTCAAAAAAAAACAACAACAAAAAAAACAAATGTAATTTAAAAAAAGAGTTGGGGGGTTGGAGAGATGGCTCAGAAGCTAAGAGCACTGGCTGTTCTTGCAGAAGACCTGGGTTCAAATCCCAGCACCCACATGGCAGATAACAACCATCTGTAACTCCAGTTCCAGAGGATCCAAAGCCCTCTTCTGTCCTCCACAGGCATTGTACCACATGGGTGCACTTACACACATGTAGGCGTAACACTCAAATACATAAAATAAAAATAAATTGAAAAATAAGGGCTGAAACAACAATAAAGCACCCAGTCTTCTGATACTGAATTTCCAATCCTATTTTACTACTCCTAAATATGATCTCAGAGACAGTGCTTCAAGCACTATTAGTGGATGAGTCATTTTATTTTATTCTTATATTTCATTATTTTTATGTGTATTTGTGTATTGCCTGCATGTAGGTAAGTGCACCCATGTCATGCGATGCCCATGGAGGTCAGAAGAGGCTGTCAGATCCCCTGGGACTGGAGTTACGGACAGGTGTTAGCTGCCATGTGGGTGCTGGGATTCAAACCCAGGTCTTCTGCAAGAGCAGACAGTGTTCTTAACCGCTGAACCATCTCTCCAGCCCGTGGATGAGTCATTTTAAAATAATAAAATAAGTCAGGTGTGGTGGTGCACGCCTTTAATCCCAGCACTTGGGAGGCAGAAGCAGGTGGATCTTTGTAAGTTTGAGGCCAGCCTGGTCTACATAGTGAGTTCCAGGACAGCTGGGGCTACAAGGAGACCCTGTCTCAAAAATAAATAAATAAATAAATAATACATAAATGAATAAATAAATAAGTGAAAGAGCTTCTCAGAAGAAAGCAAGATACATCAAATCATGAGTGTGGGTTCTCTTAGGGTGACAGAAAGTCATATATACCCAGTCGTGGCTACAGGCTCTTCAAGGGAGAGGTACTTACATTTTTATTATAAAAGATAAAGCACACAAAATGTGCACAGTAATCTATAAAATCTCCTTTCACTACCCTATTTCCCCACCATCTTGTGACTCAGAGACAAGTACAGTTTAGCGTATAGTCTTCAAGTTTATATATCTTCACACATTATTTTTTTTAATGAATGAAATCCAGTGTTCTTAAAATAAATCATCTCCAAAGATAACTTTAATGACTACCCTTTACCTTTCAAGACTGGCTAACAATATTAGACTTCAACTATGTGCATAAAGAGAGTATTATCTTCTTATGTAATGTGTTTCAGATAGTCAAGTATGTCCCTTATCCAACACAGCTGTTATAAAGCCTGGGGAATAGGTTCCTATCTCTTACCATAAGCTATTCACAGTGACTGTATTGGTACAGACTTGTGTGCTGAGTGGCCCTGCACTTTGAGCTGATTTTATTTACCTTCTTAGGTTGAAGGAGAAGCAATGCAGAATCCTGAAAGGAGTTTCAGGCTCAGAGACAGCTAGAAGCACCATTAATCGTTGGGTATCAATTTAGGCCTCAATTAAAATATCTAACCCTCAATACAATGCTTTTAATTGTTAGGTGCTCAGTGAATACTGGTTATACTGAAGAGACCAGAGACAACTTTGAGATCTTATTTAAAGTACTTCAGGTGAGCTTTAAACCCTAAGGAGACCAAAGACTAACAGAGTATAAAGAAGTAGTTAGGTGCATCAGATGAAGATTTTCAAGAAAAAGGTGGCACTTCCACCTGTCCCAACGTATAGGAGCCAAACAAACAAGCAGTGTTTAAAAAGCACAGTGGTGCAGGGTGTGATTGCACACCCCTTTAGTCCCAGTGCTTGGGAGGCTGAGGCAGGCAGATCTCTGAGTTCAAGGTCAGCCCAGTCTATATAGTGAACTCCAGGACAGCTGGGGCTACAGAGAGACCCTGTCTCAAAAAAAAAAAAAAAAAAAAAAAAAAAGACTAAAAGCATAGTAGTCTGAGGTCATTCAAGAACAAAGAGCTCTATGAATTTTAACAGTTTATATAGATCAGTACAAAAACTGACATGACATTTATGGAGAGGCTAAGTTCAAGGCAGAGAAATGTATAATCTTTCTTAGAAATTCATTCAAAAGCCTTAAGTAGGGATTTAAAGGTATTAGAAAACAATATGTAAAATATTCTTTAGTGATGAAAATGATCACTGCGTATGTATTCTTTGACATAATAATGGCTCAGTGACAAACATGGAGGGGTACACACCCTTCAGAGTGGTTGGTACACAAAAGCCTTCTTGGTGTTGCTTTTGACTGTCTGAGTCTTTCCCCAGAGTGGCTAATTGGCAAATTCTCTTCTGTTACGCACCCCTTAAGTGCTTTCAAACAAGATCAGTTATAATCTTTTAGTACACAGTTGCTGAGGTGCATTACATTCTAGAATTGCTTCAATATAACTGAAGTCTGTTTTCCAAATTTCAAGCTCCTTCCATCTCTTCTGCTCCGATTACATATTTTAAAATAGCTACATAGAAAGTCTACTTATAATAAACAGTCAATATAATATTTTCTAGTTTCCGATAAAAACATTAACAACCACCATCAATGCCTGTGGTTACTTCTTACAGTCCTAAGAGGTGGGGGAATACATGGAGACAAATAAAATGAAAAACAGCAAGCCTTACACATCATTAAGTTCAGCCACTCGCCCAAGGAATTCCTCATAAGTTAAGGAGCCACTCTCTCGAACCAATGCGACGTGTTTTGCTACTTTTTCCGGTAACTTGTTAATAACCAACTGTGTCTGATCCGAAATTTGCTGTCCCATGATGAAATGATGTCTTTTAGAATTCAGAAAGAGTACCACTTCACATAGTTTCTGTCAAAATAATGTAAAAATTACTTCTGCATGACATATAAAAATAGCAATATACCCATTCTTAAAAATAAAAAACAAGAAAACCCACAAATACCTAAGGAAATACTCAGCTACCTTACACAAATCTAAGATATAATTTGTTTATATTTTTAAAGTAAAGATTAACTGATTGGTCTTTTTGAGACAAGGTCTCCCTGTAGCTGTGGCTGGCCTGGATTTGCTATGGAGACCTGTCTGCTTCTACCTCCCAAGTGCTGGGACTAAAGGACCATGTCCAGCTGTAAAGATTTATATTTTAAACTACATAGAATTATATAGCTAAATGATTCACTTATGATATTGGGAGAATGATGAACCTCTAATTCCTCTAACTCTACAAAGAGAAAAGACACACACACACACACAGAGAAAGAGGAGAGAGGGAGAGGGAGGGAGGGAGGGAGGGAGGGAGAGAGAGAGAGAGAAAGAGAGAGAGAGAGAGAGAGAGAGAGAGAGATTGATTGATTGATTGATTCAAGTGATGGGATTTTCCTAAGAACATTTCCTGACTATTTATTATGAGACTCCAAACTAAGTGCTTTCCATATATTACATCACTTAATGCTTACAACATCCTATAGGATAGATGTTATATTTGTATTTCATGAATGAGAGAATGGGTTAAATGTCTTATATAAAATTCACAGTGTGGGTTAGAAGTGAACTTTGAACTCCTATTTTAAAATATTTTTATTGAGCTTTTGTACATTCCATACAACAGTTCTTAATCAAATTTAGACCTCTTCCCCCATGCATGCCCCCCTCTCATACTCAGTTCCCCTCATCCCCCTAGAATGCACACTCTCGGTGTTCTGAATCATATTAGCTAAAATTTTCATTACTACATTTCTTATTTACAAATGTGTAATTTATTTTTATGCATATTTGCCTGCATATATGTTAAGTGTACCTGTGTGCAATGCTCATGGAGGCCAGAAGAAAGCATTGGATCCTCTGGGACTAGAGTTACAGATGGTTGTTAGCAGCCAGTGCTCTTAACTGCTGAGGTATCTCTCCAGCCCCATGTAACTTAGTTCTTTTGTTTGTCTGTCCCATCCCCATCCCTGTAGCCCCAGCTGGCCTGGAACTCACTATGTAGACCAGGCTGGACTTGAACTCACATAGTGCTGGAATTAAAGGCCTGCACCACCATGCCCGGCATAACTTTGTTTTTAAAATACATATAAACTGAATGGACTTTTTGTTTCGAATTCTAATAAAATTAAATTATTAAGAAAATTTACCTCACATTTTATGCCGAGGGAAAAAAATTTCTTTTGTTAAGTCCTCCAGGTATTTTAAACTTAAGAGTTTATTTTAGAAGTACTTTTAGTTAACAGGGTCACCAAGTTAATAATTTACTATAAATTATACATCAATAATTTGTTGGCAAAAAATTAACCATAAAATATTTATTTAATATGCACTTCCCTAAACTCTTCAAAGATATTTATGTGTTGCGGGTAGAGAAGAGTTGGACATGCTTATCCTAGACAGTTTTTTTTTTTTTGGTAAATAATCAGTTATCAAAATAAAATTATGGTTAAGCTAAATTTTTAGTATTTCCTAAGGTGATGTGATAATTTCTACTCAATATGAATGTGACTATTAGTGACATAAAAGCAGCTATATTTGTTGGTCACTTCTACTATGAAACTTTCTTCTAAGCATTTTATACAAATTCAGATTCAGTCATTTAAATTCCTGTAATAATCATTTGGCAGATAAGAAACGGGAACAGAGGTTAGACCGACCAGTCACACAGCTAATAGTACCTTTTTTTGGTTTAAACGATAAAGTGAAAAGTACAACACAATTAAAAAGCTCTGACCTGTCTCAAGAATTCTACTTCGTTTACCCGTTAAAGACGGTCATTCTGCTTTCCTCGAATCAACGCCTTTATCATATAAAGCAAATGAAATTGTAACAATTACCCAGAAAAATTTTATGCCAGAAAACTTGCTTTAGTGCTTAATTTTAAAAATGGAGTTATGGGGGTAAGTATAAAACTGGGGGCAGCAAGATAGCTCAGTGGGCAAAGGTACTGGCTGCCAAGCCTGAAGAGTTCAATTTCTGGGACTCAGGTGGTGTAAAGAGAGAACCAATTTCTGAATGCTGACCTCTGACCTACACACACTGTGGCATGTGTGCCCATATATACACACAACATATAAATGTTAAAATAATGTAACTTTAAAATAAAGAGTACAGCCATAAATATGTTTTGCTTTAGTATCAAGTTTTAATGTACTGTATGAGGTTTTTTTTTTTTCAGTTACTTTAAATACAGTAAAAGTAGAATTATACTAAAAAAAGAAACTCCTCAATTACTGTATTGGATTCAAGCCTATGTGGCAGCAATAAACACCACACTACAGGAACAAATAAGAATGATCCAGCTACTAAAAAAAGATCTCTGAATGCAAAAATATAAATTTTAAATATGGCCAAATATAAAAGATTTATAGAAACTATATCCACAGAGGAACAACTGAAAATTCCAGTTTAGCCAGGTGTGGTGGTGCACACCTTTAATTCCAGCACTCTTGAAGAAGAGGCAGGCCAATCTTTGTGAGATTGAGGCCAGCCTGGTCTACATAGCGAGTTCCAGGCCAGCTGGAGCTACAGAAAGACTACGTCTCAAGCAAAACAAAACAAAACAATTCCAGTTTAGAGAAAGGTCCAGGGCATTCACCTTGGTGGTTTCTGGGTGTCACAGACTAATAACATCTTAAAACACAATGATGTTAGCTGAGTGTGGTGGCAAACGCCTTTAGTCCCAGCACTTGGGAGGTAGAGGCTGGTGGATCTCTGTGAATTCGAGGCCAGCCTGGTCTACAGAGTGAGTTCCAGGTCAGCTGGGGCTACAGGGAGACCCTGTCTCAAAAAAGACAAAACAAACAAACAAACAAACACACTCCCAAATGCCCCAAACCTAAGAAAAGTTCAAAGCAACAACTTAATAACATGAAAAGCAGAGTATGGCATTAGAGTAAGTCCTTTCCAAAAGCGGCAGTAACTTCACCCTGGCATTTACTGTATACAGATGTTTAAACTACATGTTCTACTCATTTTTCCTTGTTCTAACTCAAATGTTAGAACATCAGGAGTAAATGGCTGCAGAGCAGCATTGGAGATCCACTGGCCTACAATGGTCTTTTTAAAAATTATATTTAACAAGTACTGTGTGTGTTGCTTATGTTCTAGGGACAAAAACCACAAAGTTCTTGCCACCAGGGAGTGTCCACACAGTAGAAGGACCGTAAGCACACAAGCACGTATTTAATTACAGAATAAGAATACGAAACCAAACAAGCACAGGGTGATGAAAGCCGGTAAAACCGGGAAACTGACCTAGTCTTGTGTCAGGAAAGAAATCCCTGGACGAACATTTGATTTGGGTCCAGAAAGATGGTCAGACTTTGCAAGAGACAAAGAGTAGAGGCATGGTGAGAGGACATTCTAGGCAGAGGTTTCAGAAAGTGTCCAAAATGGGAAGGATCCTGGTGCCTTTGAGGGATTAAAAAAGAACCCGGAGTGATTAGAGAGGTAGAAAAGAAGGAAGACAGCCCCCAAATCAAACCCAAACCCAAATGAGCCAGCTGAGATTTCATGCCTGACCAAAACTAGAATGAATGAAGCATACCCAATGAATGAGACTTGGTAACTTGCTAAGACTATTTAATACAGCAAAAAGACAGTTCCTGAATGTTTTGAAAAGCCAACTGTACAGAAGTACTTAAAAACAGCTCAAACATAAAAGTCCTGGGGTTTTAAATTAAAATAACAGCATAATGAGGATTAAGAAAAATGCCAAAATAATCCTTAACTCCTGCCTAAGCGGATGTCTACAGTAAGGAGCCTCGTAGTACACTGTTATACAAAACCACTCTGAAGGTTTTATTCAGCTCAAAGCAGCCACACCTTTAAAGGGTACCAATAAATTAGAACACATTCAGGATGAAAACAGAAGTGATTTACTTTAGATAAGCACAGCTAGGCAATGACATGGAATATGACTGGCTTGTTCAAATACTTGAGGTGCTGTCACACAGAGGAGGAAGTAAGATTTGTATTACATAGTTAGAGAAGAGCCAATCACCATCCATCAGAGGGCCAGATTTCAGTTCAAAGTACGAATGCCCTATCACGTAGCAGTGGGAAGGGCTGTTGTAATATGTAAACTTCCTTTCACTGATGTAGTATAGAAAGGCTTTTAGAAAGTTCATCTAATGAGTGTCACAGAGAAGAGATTTTCCAGGTGGAAAATGGAATAGCTAACCGAATAGCTAACCTCTAATCTAACATTTTGCTCCCAATTTAATAAAAACACAGTAAGATTCTAATCAGTCAGACCGAAATTTTCAATTTACATTACTTAACAGAAAAAAAACAAAACTTTAGAAAACTGACAATGATATACTGAATCAACAATGTGGGGAGGTAGTATTTCTCTCCCTCTACCTTCTTAAGGTCTTCAGTTGGTCCCAAGATTAACATAAGACAAGCAAGAGGAAACTATACACAAATTTTGTTATATACATGTATATGGAAGTCCTCACAAGAAAAATAGGCCCAGGGACTGGAGAGATGGTTCACCAGTTAGGAGCACTGACTGCTCTTGCAGAAGACCTGGGTTCAATTCCCAGCACCCACATGGTGGCTAACAACCATGCACAACTCCAGTTCTGGGGGACTCCAACGCCTTCTTCTGACTTCCACAGGCATTGCACGACACGGGTGCACTTATACACATGCAGGCAATGCACTCATACACATAAAATAAAACAATAAAATAAAATGAAATGAAAATAAGATGCAAATTGGGGCCAAAACCAAAGACACTATAAATTGTGAAAATATAAGACATTAGGAAAATAAGTTACTCAGGAAAGTCTGTATACATTCTCTTGGCCTCGAAACCCATCTCTGATGGTAAGATGCCTCCTTTTCCTCCTGGTATAGGACAGGTACCTTTCACATGCTTGCTTCATCTCCCATTTTTCAGGAAAAAAAAAAAAAAAAAAGGTTCTAGAACTTTTTTTTTTATATCTGCTACTTTTAAATTATCTTTACCACAAAATAATTATGCCAAAGTGGCATATTTTATTATCCTATATTGCTCATCAAAATTGCATTTAAAAGGAAGTTTTAATTGTTTATTTCTTGAATTAGAAAACCTTGCCAGTGTTTCACTGGTATCCTAACTTTGTTTTGTTCTTAAGACAGGGTCTCCCTGTAGCCCCAGTCAGCCTGGAACTCACTATGTAGACCAGGCTGGCCTCAAATTCTCAAAGATCCACCTGCTTCTGCCTCCTGAATGCTGCTATTCTTTTGACTATTTGTTCAAATGGCTCAGTGGTTAAGAACACTGGCTGCTCTTGCAGCGGACCTGGGTTCGAGTCCCAGCATCCACATGGTGATTAACAACCATCTTTAACTCCGGTTTCAGGGGAATTCAACACCCTCTTCTGACCTCTGCAGGCATTGCATGACATGGGTGCACTTACATACATGCAATACTCATACACATAAAAAAAATAAAGTATTAAAAAATATATATGGAAAGCTGAAAGATGGTTCAGCAGTTAAGAGTGCACACTGCTGTTAAAATTGACAAATTTGGTTCCCAGAATCCACATTGGGCAGCTTACAATTGCCTGTAACTCCAGTTCCAGGGGATCCAAAGGCACCTGCACTCACATTCTCACACACAGAGACACACACTTGTACACATAATTAAAAATAATAATCTTGCTGGGTGTGGTGGAGCACGCCTTTAATCCCAGCACTTGGGAGGCAGAGGCAGGTGGATTTTTGTGAGTTCAAGGCCAGTCTGGTCTACATAGTGAGTTCCAGTACAGCTGCGGCTACAGAGAGACCCTGTCTCAAAAAAGACAATAAATAAATAAATAAATAAATAGATAAATAAATAAATAAATAAATAATAAATCTTTAGTATATAAAAGAAAAAGTGTAAAGCTAAAAAACTATCTTTAATGTTTCTATCAATTTGGAAAGACTCACTATTTGATATTAAAATCCCTCCCTCAAAATCACAAAACAGTACTGCTGCATAATTTGCAAACCACTGGCAATAAAAGTCAGTAAAAGACAAATCTAGAGTTGATTTCTCAAAGAACCAGCAGCTCTCGAACTATTGTGTCACCTATAATGCAGTTCTTTCTAGCAAGCAAGAAATACACTTTGAGAAAGCATCTGAAGGATTTTCAAAATAAAGAACTGTTATTTGGAAACTCATGGAACATCAAGGATTCCTAAAATGCCACGTTCTCTAGTAGGTGGCACATTCCGTTGATTTCTTTTTCTAACAAATGAAATGTTGTAGCTCAAATATTCTTTATACAAATATAATAACTGCATTCCAAATAATTCTCACACACAGAAACTGCCTGAAAGGTTAAAGCATAATTCATTCATAAATGGATTAGAGGAAAGCTGAGAAGTGTAAAAGTGCAAGATGATTGGGTGACGGCCTGAGTTCTATCCCTGAACCCATGTAAAAAGTCACTCAAGGAGGCACACTTGTATTCTCAGTGCTGGGAAGACAGACAGGAGGATCCTTCAGATTTGCTGGTCTGCAGGCCTGGTCTAACCAGCCAGTCTCAGGTCCTAGAGACCCTGAGTTGGAAACAAGGTGGATAGCTCCTGAGGAACAACCAAGGTTGACCTCTGGTGCATATGCATCTGTATACACACACACACACACACACACACACACACACACAATGACTAGTTGACAGATACTGTGATATTTATGAGGTACCTCTATAATCTACTGTTTAATTTTGGATCATCTCTAACCTTAGAAATATTAAGTTCTACAACTAGGTCTCTAAGGATACTATTTACCTTATTATTCACTGTTTATCCAAACTACAGGTGCAAGCAGGTATCAGCTGTTTCTTAAGACAGGAAACACGAGAACCAATTAGGTTGGTCAGAGTCACTGTAAAATTTGGAATGTCTATTTTGACGTCAAAGATCTTAATCTGTCAAAGATCTTAAAAGAGAAAACAACAAAAACTATCCTAAAAAATGATAGAAAAACTACAAAATAAAATACTGGGGAATTAATAGAGTTCTAATAATACCCGTGTATTTACTAAATACACTTATTAGAAAAAAACACACCAGATTTGTATGAATTCTCTTTGGAACCTTTGCCTTTTTAGGGAGAAGGACAAGCAATGTTCTCCATTTACAGATTTATTTAGGCGTATTCAGAGAACCAAGAGAGATCAAATATTATGTTCACTTTAACCAAATAACAAAGAATTAACATATTTTTCAAAAACACAACATACTCTGTAGGAAACTATGTAGAAACTGAAGCCAGCCAGCATAAAAGGAAAAAAAAATGCATGGTATTTCTGAGTTCTGAATCCAGAACGCATCACCTTAAGAGATGACTTAAAGCCAGGCCACTGTCAAGCCCATTGGTTGGTCGGGAGCTCGTGCCCGGGGCAAAATTCTGATAGATGAATCAAGTTCTATAGCAAGAATGGGCGGAGGGGAATGGACACGACAAACTATGGTCTAGGGTGTAAGAATTAAAAACAGCTGGAAGCGCTGATGCGGAGAGAGGAAGGAGCTGGATGCTGGGCACTCTGAAATGGTGCCGTTTATTTAATATGGAGGCTGGGCACAAACTCCAACGGTAAACCCACATTTTGCGACCAGACAAAGCTGAACCCGTTCATCCCCTACAGCTGTGATCACCCCGACGGCCTCCGCAAGCCCCCTCCTAGGCGCACTGGCACCGTAACCATCCGCTAAACCCACCTAGGCAAGATTCAAAGCAGCCTAGGCGTGACGCGGACCCACCCCCGAAGCGGACCCAGCCGCCTCCCCCGCCCCTGGGAGCTGGCGCGCTGGACCTGCGTCCCCGGGGCGGCGCCGCGGCCAGTCGGGCCCAGCTTCCCGGGAGCTCGGCCGAGACCTGCCAGGGCTCCCGCTCCCAGCCACAGGGCTGGGGAGAGGCCGGGAGGGGGACACCCAGGGAGGACGGCGCTGCTAGGCTCACCCAGGTTCAAGGCATCGCGATCCGAGCCGCCTCAGCTGCCGCTCGGACCCGCTAGGCGGCGGCGGCGCGATAGGCGCCCCGGTCGCACCTCAGTGACGCAGGCCACGCCCCACGCGCGTTGCTGGGAGACGGAGCGCCAACCTTCGCCCTCACGACGTGCCCCCACCCCCCGCCCCTTCCCGCCCCTCCCGCCCCAGCTCTTTGGCTGGGGAGCTGCAGCACCTGCGCTTCCAGCTTCCTGGGCGACCGAAAGGATCTTTGAGCCAAATCCTGCCTCTCCGGGAGCCATCTCAGCCATCCGCCGAGCGTCGGGACGGTGATGGGGATTGTACTGCAGGCTCTGGTTTGGTGAAGGGTTGAGTTACAAGTCACCAACTGTTAACTAAAACCTTCGGTCTCCCTCCAATCGTAGCAACACAGAGATCATTTTGTTTATTATAAAACTGGACCGGCTGTGGTGACTTAGGAGGCCTCACTTCAATCATTAAATAAGTACTGAACATTTATTATGCACCAAACTCTATTCCAAGGACTTAAAAGGCATTCATTTAATCCTCACAGCAATCTTAGGAAGCAGATCTAAAAAAAAAAAAAAAAAAAAAAAAAACCCTTATAGGTGAAGGAACATGCTTTAGAAAGTCACTTTTTCCAAGGTCAAACAAACAAGAAGGGTCAGATTCAAACAAGTCTGTCGAATGCCAAATGCCTTGCTTGAAACTGCCTGAATAAGAGGGTGGGACTTGGTCAGGTCCAGAGTAGTATATGTGTGTCACTGTCTTCTTGACAACTAGCACAATGCCTAGTATGCAGTAGGTCAAAATAAGAAATTTAATCACAGTGTGGACACTGGAAAAGCAAAAAGCTTAAAAAATGAAGCAAAAAATGATTTTGTAAACTAAAAGATACCTAATACAACAAAATCTTACAGTTCAGCCAAATCTGATCCTGAGTGTCATTAATACCACTCTGTAAATACTGCTTAAACACTGTATTACAAGGTCTAGTCAGCCCAGTAAAGACAGTAAAATAGACATCCAAGTTGGGGGAAAAATACTATGAATTTCCACAAAAAGTTACTAGAACTAATAAACTACTAAACTGAGTTAGAAGTTACAGAATACAAAGTTTACATACAAAAGATAGTTTTGTTTCTATAAGTTAGCAAACTGTAAATTTAAATTTTGTCTAAGCTCCTAGTACCAGATGTGAATTCCACCCTGTGGAGTCTACCTTAAGTCCAATTAAAAAGTCTATTCATAAAAACTCATGACACTGTTGCACAAGCTGGAACTTCCATCATGAAATATGCAGGGATCCACAGCTAGGACTTTAGACCTTAATTCTCCCCGGCAACTTTAGTAGTACCTTCTGGCCCTACAAGAGCTAGCCCACAGGGAGGGGACACTTTTGGCTCAGTCTTAGCCTTCTCAAGTCCTGCAACCACAATATGGGGTATCCAGCAATAGGGTCTTACCATCTAGTTCTGGAATACAACCAGCAGCAATGGCAATAACCTTATTGTTTGGGGGCCTAGGTGGAACCCCCTCTGAGGAGGTGACCCACCCCTGGGATTGGATTCTCAACAACCTTATGGCTTCTGAGAGCATCTGTTTTCACTCCCACAGGATACTCTTTTTTACTCTAGCGTTTACAAGTCCAGGTTGTTGCAGACGTTTCACAATCACCTTGGTGGATATGACTTGTACCTTAAACAATCATAAAACTCCCAAGAATTTCACAGCTGCACCTGGTCCTCACACCATTTGTGAAACGATTTCTCATTGTTCCTCAGGTGCACTTGCAGGTTCCTCAAATGGGTTTCCAAATCTGCCAAATACTCAGAAGTTAACATTATGTCATCTGTATAATAAAACTTTTTCCAGTGCATGGGCAGGACAACTCTGAAATGTCTTGAACCACCACCCCATAACCAATAGTGAGGCCACAAAGATAACGTCGGTGAAGCACCCTGAAATTTCATTACTATCTGTTTCTACACTTAATAAGATAACCCAATGTTTTCAAATGGCCAAAAGATTGGAACAATCCTTCATATTTGTGAATAACAAAATAAGCACATGAAATGATACCCAGGGTCATTACTTATAAGGAAATGCAACTTAGAAGATAAAGGAAGCATCAATGTATACACTAGGAAGAGTGGCTAAAACTGAGAAGACTGTATTAAATGTTGACAAGGATGCTGAACAACTGGAATTATTATGTACTGCATGTTGGCATTGTAAAATTATACAACCATTGTGGAAAAGCTTTGACCACTTATTAAAAAGATAAACACACATAACACATGATGTTGTCATTCCAGTCCTGTGGTGTTTACTACATGGTGCCACATTACAGTTACGCCTGAATAAAGACAGCCTAACTCTTAGCATACATTTTAAGCCAAGTGGACTCAAACTGCTGAGAACCTTTTCACTGCCGTAACTGTGCTCTCCAACAAAGAGCTTGCTCTTTCTTTTATTAAAACAACATAACCAGCGTGAAATGAGGAAGTAAAAGTTTGACCCTTATGTTATCAGAGAAGAATCTTGCCCTTTCTGATCCTTAAACCTATATAAGAATGACTTCTACAATTTGGACATACTCTGGACAAATAACTTTTACTTTACCTATAACCAAAAAGTTAATCCAATCTTGTTTGTAATGTAAGTGTGTTCACCTAGGCCTTGAGCTCCTCTTGTAACCCAAACAAAGCTTTAATTACTCATTACCCTTCCTTGCCCTTGACCTAGAATAATATGTGCATGGGTGTGTGTATATGGGGAATATCAAAAGCACTGCTTGCAGTGCTTATTCCTTGGAAATGAAGATGTGAAGATTATTCCATCTGTGTTGCAAACAATAGTTGGGATTCAATTGATAATGTCTGTTTATGGGTGTGTGTATGTTTGTCTAGATCCAGGGACAGAAGGAACATAATCTTCAGGTGAAGGTCCAACTTTCACTTTCCCATTTCATGTTACTGTTTCAAGAAAGCACAGAGCAAGTCCTTGTTTAAGAGCATAGTTTTAAGAGCATTCTGAAGGAACTAGATTTCAGCAGTTTGGGTCCACTCTTGGCTTAAAGGTAAATGCTAAGAGTCAGGTTGTTTTTTATTAAAGCATAGCCATAATGTGACATTGTGTGATGAACACTGGAGACCTAGACTAGGAGGCACACAATCACAAACAGATGTTTTTAATTTAATCCTATCAGTTGCAACACAAATGGGAAAATATATCTTTGTTGTTTCTAACAAATATCCCACATACCTTTTGCAGCACTTTCTTGAATATGCAAAACATACACACACACACAAACACATGCACACATGCACATACATACATTTATACATTGTTTTGGAGTCAAGGGCAAGGTAGGGTCATGAGGAATTAAAGCTATATGCTCATGGCCAAAGTAGACTTGTTTACCTTACAAACAAGCTAAGATTAACTTTTTGGTTGTAAAGGTAAGTAAAAGTTCAGAGTATGTTCATATTGGAAAAGTCATTCCTACACACTTCCAGGGATTTACTTAAAAAATGAAAGCATATGTTCACACAAAGACTGGTATATAAATATTCATAGAATTATTTGTAATAGCTCTAAATTGGAAACAACCCAGATGTCTATCAACAGGTGAATAGAAAACAATGGAGGTATATCCACACAGCAGTAAGAAAGAATGGCTGATTTATACATTCAACAATTTGAATGAATCTAAAAGAATTACTGAGGCTAAAAGAAGACTTCACTCCAAAAGTCTAGAAAAGATTTTTAAAAATTTAACCTTTTGTTGTGAGGTGCTTCACCAGAGAAGACCACTCAGACAAAGTTTTGTGGAATGAAAGTCCTTGTTTGGCAATGACTACACAAGGGCGTAGGAACCCAAGTGTGTAGCCCTGAGCCATCTCTAGGGTAAGCTTTTATACAGAGAAACCATAACGTGGAGTGAAAAGTTTAAGTTCCCAAGCTTACAGGCCAAAAGCCCCTTTAACAATTTCTATTCTATTAAGCAACAATTACTATTTTGTAGAAGCAAGCCAAGCAGAACCTACAGAAGCCATAAATCTGGTTAGCAGTTGTACTCTGGGACATTCTGACCTGTTCCCAAGACAATTGAGGTCCTGCTGACATGTGTTCCATACCCTGGGCCAACTGTCTGATATTTTCAGAGATTAGAGTCGGCCTAAACTTCAACATGGTATAGCTATGGTCAAGAAGGTGCCATATCACACTTGACTGATAAAAGCAATAAAGTACTTGTTTAGGGATTGGTGATGGATGTGTGTGGACGACAGCACAGTCACAGAGTAGGGAATAAAAACGGGTAGCCCAGTACTACACTTGCCTAGCATGTAGGAAGTTTTGGATTCAATACCAAACACTGTGTCTCAAAACCTTCAAGGGGGTGGATGGAGAGTTTTTAGGATGCTAGCTATGTTCATTTTCTTCTTTTTTTCTATGTTCATTGTTTTCTTTTTGGTCTTTTTGAGACAGGGTCTCCCTGTGGCCCCAGCTGGCCTGGAATTCACTACATAGACTGGGCTGACCTCGATCTCACAGAGATCCAATTGTTGGGATTAAAGGCATGTGCCACCACACCTGGCTTGTGTTCATTTTCTTAATTGGTGATTTCACAGATTTATGTAAATGTAATAAGGAAACCCAAATATGTCATTTATTGTATGCCAATTGTATTTCAATAAATTTGTAGAAAAAGATGGAGTCAGTTTGTTTTTTTCAAGTCATGTGCTTTGTCAAATCAATTCAAAACACAGAGAAAAAGGTGGCAATTTTACATATTTAGAAGAGGAGATAATCGAGGTGGAGGGACCACATTAGTCCTTCATGCAGTAGTGAGCACTGTACCTTTCTATCCATGCTTCCACTGCCTCATTCTGTCCTCTTCACATCAGCTTCCTGTCCTAACGGAGGGCATAGCAAGACCACTGAACAAGGAGGTTCAGCTCCTAGGAGATGCCTGCAGCCCCCACAAACACTAACCTGGATGTGGGGGAGAGATGCCAGTCGGGGGAGTACCTGACTGCAGCCACTGTTCTGAGTAGCTCTGAGTTTCAGCTATAGCTCTGAAGCAGAGGAAATATGGAG